ATCCCGGTTGAAAAAATTTTTTTAATTAAATAAGAGAAGTGGGGACAATGTATAGTCACGGGACAAGGTAAGCCAGCTCACCAAAGCAAGCCGAAAAAGCAAGCTGAAATATTCTGGAGGCCTAGGCAAGCCGAGAAAACAAGCCGAAAAAAATCTAACAAGCCAAGCTGACCAAGCAAGCCGAAAGAAAAAAAAAAACAAGCTAAGCAAGCAAGCTAACGGACAAAAAAAGGCAAGCCTAAGCAAGCAAGCGGGTTGAAAGTAAGCGGGTTGTTCCTATGCAATAGAGTGTTGACTTGGTTTAGTTGAAAAGACGTCTAATTCGGATTTAACAGCAAAGTTTTTGTGTGAATTGATAAATGCCATGATTAGACGTATGAAAAATTATCTTCATACGGATCAAATATTTTCTTTTTTCCTATTGATCTCCTTTTCGTTTTAGAAGATGTTGACGATGTTTTCGTTTTTCTCTTTCTTTTATTAGTTGAAACACTATGATTTTTCCATCCTCTCGTCTGTTTCTTTCGAGATCTACTCTTCGACTGAGATTTTCTTGCTGCTCTCAATTGTTGTAGTCCACGCTGTCCTCGTTGTCTTATTCCTCCACCAGACATTTTTTCTTAAGTATTGCCTTTTGTTTTAAGTTCTGTATGCCTTCTTTACTTCTATTCATGATAGCTTGTTTCAAGTCAATATTACTATCGTTTACATCAGTTAAAATATTCATTGATGATTGCAAAATTTCTTTCCCAACTGCCGTAGATCCTCGTTTGATAATTGGAAGGAATATCCACTCAAATGACAAGGCTATATCAAAATATCCAATTCCAAAAATGTCTTTCCGATCAAAAAATAATTGCGGCTACATTATCTAATGCTCAATCCGACCCAAAGTATTTTAAAACTTTCAGGGAAATTTCCAAAGAAATAAAAGTGTAAGAAACATTACTGTTTAAAACTAAAATTTTCTTAGGCTTTCGTGAAAGTGAATTCGACTTTGAATTAAATAAAAGTGTAAGAAACATTACTGTTTAAAACTTATAAATTTTCTTAGGCTTTCGTGAAAGTGAATTCGACTTTGAATTGAATAAAAGTGTAAGAAACATTACTGTTTAGAACTTATAAATTTTCTTAGACTTTCGTGAAAGTGAATTCGACTTTGAATTAAATAAAAGTGTAAGAAACATTACTGTTTAAAACTTATAAATTTTCTTAGGCTTTCGTGAAAGTGAATTCGACTTTGAATTAAATAAAAGTGTAAAAAACATTACTGTTTAAAACTTATAAATTTTCTTAGGCTTTCGTGAAAGTGAATTCGACTTTGAATTAAATAAAAGTGTAAGAAACATTACTGTTTAAAACTTATAAATTTTCTTAGACTTTCGTGAAAGTAAATTCGACTTTGAATTAAATAAAAGTTGATTGCATCCCAACCACTCTATATGATATAGAGGTTGTTATCAATAAGGGACTTTCTGATGTAAACAATGATGAAAAGAACATAATCCTTGAGAATGGTCTTAGATGTGATTATACTGATGAATAAGGAAACGTTTCCCCGAGAGTAGAACATATTTACATGTTTTAAGAAATATTTGGATATTACAACTGATCAAAAATTCTTCAATCAGTAAAAAAACTAGAAACTTAAGTGACCTCATGTAAAGACACGAAGGATGGAAGCAGTGAGGATTCTTTATGGATTGTGCAAAATTTAAACTTATAACAATGCATGTTCTCGAATTTAATAAATTCTTTCTCTCACTGTAAGGAACTTTATCATTGAACTTTTGAACTNATTTGATTAATTATAAAAGAATATAAAAGAATATAAATGTTTATAAAAGAGTATGTAAGAATATAAATGTTTATAAAAAGTAATATAAATGTTTATGAAAAATGTAAAATTGAATAAATGAAAGGAGAAGCAATAAAATAAGAATTTAGATTTTTGATTTTGCAGTCTTTGTTAAAGAAAATTTTAATTTTGAGAGATAAAAATTTTATTAGTAATCCAAGTTGACAGGGTTGAAATCGGCAATGTTGATCCGTTGATAGTCTCCCTCCTGTAGCATCAACTCTTTGAAAATGTTGCTTCCTTCTTCTTCATGTTCTTCGTAGTATCGTAGCGCGTTCACTTTTCCGTCCCATTCTAAATCTTCTGATACATTTTCGTCTTCATTTTTTAGAATGTAGATTTTTTTTCTGTCCATCTCCTTGTACTTTGGCACCTCTATGTATTCGAAAATTCCCTTCTGCAAGTTGTTTAAGTATTCTAGTTGAACTTTTAAGTTGTAGAAAGCTTCTCCGTCACTTTTATATCGTTCCAGCAGATCTAGGACAATATACTTTTGCTTGAGTGACGGTCTGGCGTGTAGGAAGGTATTCCTGGTTGGTTTGAGGGAATCCAAAACGACGTCGTCGATTTCTTTATAGATTTTCCTCGTTTTGACTGTTCCGACTCTCTTCAAGTAAACCATGTAGGCTGGCGTTGGGGTGTAGCTTATTTTTTTCGCCACCCCAACGATTTTCGGTTGATTTAACGCGTGATATAATGGTTTTTCACTAGGGTTGCTCAAAACCAGCGGAAAAAAATAACCAGCNGAAGAGTTCATTTGAACTCTTGATCAAATAATTACGCAAGTCAATATACTTCATGTCTGATTCGTTGCATTTTAATCTATATTGTTCTCAGATTATGAAATTGAAATAAAGTCGAATTCGGCAAAAATGTCACGTTTACAGTATTCAAATTCTTTTGTTTAAACCAATTAAAGGCAACAACTCCCACTTAAATTCCCTTTCCCCACCTTTTATATTAAAAGCGAATTAATCGCTTATTCATCAATTTAATCCTATTATAAAAAGAAATAATTCGCAATAAAGTTTAGTATTATTTTATAGTTCTCAAGAAAACTCACGTTTATTATTATTTAGATAAGTTTAATCCTTTTACAGGGATTATTAAAGTGGTCGTTCGATTAATATAAATTAGTGACTTATAGTGATACAGTTCCGCTGTAGTTAGCGATTGAAGGAAGTAAGTTGAATTCAGCACTGTCAAAAGCCTTCGACAATGCAGAAATCAAGTGAAATTAGTGTGTTAATCGTGAAACGGGTTCTTTCTCTAATGATGAGAGGAATCGCTGCAAAGGGGATGAAGGTCCAACGGTGTTTAGTGAATAATAAAACAACAGATGATATTAACTTCCAACTCTTCAAACTTCACTTTATTTCTCTTAATATTTCAGATTTCTGATTCGTATTAGGATACAACTTAATTGTAGGATGGTAAAAACTGAACGATCATTGCTCGGTTTCTTCTTAATTTATATGTTCTATTATCATCATGTTTTCTTCGTGAACACGATCACCGCGATCGTGGTTGCTGGGCCGATGTAATTTTCACGAAGTGTAATCTGATAAGGCCACTGCGTAATCATGCATGTTTTTATAGCTTAATAATCTATTGGCTATAAAAACTGTTTACAACTTTACAATCATTTGATAATTTTAATAGCCTAAATTATACGAGTGGCGTAACATGAGATTTCATGAGCGATCGTGTTTCATGCATGGTGATTTTATTACAGTCGTAAAAAGGTTGAAAATCTGTTATCTCGGTGAGACTTGGGTAATCGAGGTCTTCTCATGTTGCGTCTTTAACAATATTTCCTCTACCCGTTACATTCCCCCGAGATTTTACAGATATTTGTGCAAGAAATATGTGTAAAATATGGAAATTATGTGAAACATTATCGGGTTACATTACAGTTGGGTCTATAAGGACGAAACTTTTTTTATTTATGTACAGTTTTATTTCAAGTTTCTGTTTATTTTTCCTTTTTAATACCTTAAGCGTTTTTCTTCTCTCTTGTTTAGGTCGTTCGTCGTAACGAACGCTTACTGTATTTGAAAATTTTATCTAGGATTCGAATGTTTTCTATCTTGTTTCATCTTTAAATTTTTAAATATCTGCTTTTGTTTGAAGAAAAGTTGGATTTTTAAGTTCAAGTGTTTTTATTATTTTTTTTGTATTTTCAATATAAATTTTTTTTGGATTTTCTTTTTTGCTTTTATAAATGGAATAAGTATTTGATTAATTATAAAAGAATATAAAAGAATATAAATGTTTATAAAAGAGTATGTAAGAATATAAATGTTTATAAAAAGTAATATAAATGTTTATGAAAAATGTAAAATTGAATAAATGAAAGGAGAAGCAATAAAATAAGAATTTAGATTTTTGATTTTGCAGTCTTTGTTAAAGAAAATTTTAATTTTGAGAGATAAAAATTTTATTAGTAATCCAAGTTGACAGGGTTGAAATCGGCAATGTTGATCCGTTGATAGTCTCCCTCCTGTAGCATCAACTCTTTGAAAATGTTGTTTCCTTCTTCTTCATGTTCTTCGTAGTATCGTAGCGCGTTCACTTTTCCGTCCCATTCTAAATCTTCTGATACATTTTCGTCTTCATTTTTTAGAATGTAGATTTTTTTTCTGTCCATCTCCTTGTACTTTGGCACCTCTATGTATTCGAAAATTCCCTTCTGCAAGTTGTTTAAGTATTCTAGTTGAACTTTTAAGTTGTAGAAAGCTTCTCCGTCACTTTTATATCGTTCCAGCAGATCTAGGACAATATACTTTTGCTTGAGTGACGGTCTGGCGTGTAGGAAGGTATTCCTGGTTGGTTTGAGGGAATCCAAAACGACGTCGTCGATTTCTTTATAGATTTTCCTCGTTTTGACTGTTCCGACTCTCTTCAAGTAAACCATGTAGGCTGGCGTTGGGGTGTAGCTTATTTTTTTCGCCACCCCAACGATTTTCGGTTGATTTAACGCGTGATATAATGGTTTTTCACGAATATCTTCATAAAACCATTGTTGAGTTTTTTCGGAGTGTCCAAACTTAGTTTCCAGATATTTTGGTAATCGTAAGTAAGCCATTGTTATTATATTCGCTGGAGATTTTTTTAAACACTTTGCACGTTCACGTTTGGATTTGTACTGACTGGTATTTTGGTTGAATTGCGTTGATTTTTCTTTTTCGATCTTCTCCTTTCTTATCCTATTTTTATTGGTGTGTGTGGGGTTTACGAAAGTCATATGGTTTTTTTTTTCAATTCGTGTTGGTGGATTCCAATAGGAATTTTATAACTCTGTCGAGGGCTCAGCTGACCTGAATATCTCTAACAAGTCTTCATACTCTTCTTCCAGGTTTATCCTCGACAACTGTTCTATTTTCCCTTTGAGGATCTCGACGTTTTCGGTGTTTATTGGTGGTTGTTGTTTAAGGATTTCGTCGATTTCAATTGAGGCTAGAATTTTCTCAGTATTGTTAATAAGGGAATTGACTTTGAAGCGAGTGATTGCGTCAGGTGAATTTCTTCTTAGGTCGACCAAGGCTCTTCTTAGGATGACGTTATGGATCATTTGCGGGAAAAACGAGAGCATAAATTCTATTTCTTCTAATGGAGTCGATAGTTTTTTTGTATAAGTATGATCGGTGTGTGTGTATATGTTTGCTTCAGACGAGGTTTGCGGAGGCGGAGCGCTAGGATTATCAGATTCCTGTAAACGTTTATAATTACGAAGACGTTTCATGATGAAGTTCATTCTTATTGGGCTTTGTTCTTCCTGGTTCTTTGTTATGTTGGATGCTAATTAGACTGTTGATAGCGGGAGAAAACAAGCGTGGATGTATGTGTTGAAATTTGGAGGTGGATAATTTATGATAGTAAAATTTTCTATTTTTTTTCACATATACAAAATTTATCTTCTCAAATTCATTCATCTTAATATTATTAGTGGTTAGAATTTCGATTATGCAAATATAATTTTATGCAATTGATGCTCTTGAGCGTCTAGTAAACGGGTGGAGATTTATGTTAACCTCAGGTTCAGGCTGAGGGGTAGCTGTTGCTTGGTCGGCAGATTGTACTAGTAAGTTTCTAAACCAAATTAAGACGCGATAAAAGAATCTCCCAATTGAATTCATCAGTTCTTTTACCGACTTTCCGTCAAATGCCCATTTAAAAAACTGTTTTGTTATATTTAAAAAACATATTAAGGCTAGGATTGCTGCATAATATGTTCCTATTTCGGAGGCATAAGCAAGAGTTTCGAAAAGATATTCTTCTATGCATTCTAACAATATAGATAAAACTTTCATGAAATTTTCCTTCTCTTGAATGGCTTTAAGGATAGACGTAAACATGTCTTCTTTTTGTAGTTCGGTTGAGTAAAATTTATTTTTCTTAAAATCGTTATGATAAAACTGTTGATCGATTGGATCTGAAGCCATTGGTTCATTAATGCTTTTTATATAATTTTTAATGTCTGCACTAGAATAAATTCCTTTATGTGCCACGCCTTTTAAAGGCTTAAATTTCCAATCGCTTGTTGAACTAGATTTTATTTTTTCAGGTGTGTTAGCTAATTTGAATTTGCCGTGGTCGTTTGTAACCCAACGATCACCAATGAAAAACGTTGGTTGAAAGAATAAATTGCAATCTATTTCAGTGCCTTCTGTAATGATTATATGTGTTTTTGGCTGTAAGAAAACTTCGTCGCTGTTATGTGTTACTGGGATTTCCATGTAACAAGCTTTTGTTTTTCTTAACTTTACGATGTGTGCTTTACACTTAATAATATGGGCTACTACACCAGAGATTTTCGCAAAGTAACCTGGTTTTCCAATGAAAGTCATGGCAAAATTATTTGGATCAGCTTTCGCCATATCCAGAGTGTTCTTTAAAATTTTCTGATTAATAAGGCACCTTTGGTACTTCAAATTGTCATACATAGATGTCATCTGTACACCAATATTATTATAAATTGCAGATAATCTCATACCACTAAAGATTACGGAATCTATATTTTTGATATGAAAAGTTTCGTCGCGGGCGATGTTTTTTGAAAGGATTGTTTCTGATAAATAAACGCCGGGGTGTTGGGATAATTGTAAATCGAAACCGCAATATTTTCTTGTATCTTGTACTTCAATAAAAATTAATCTTTCTTCATCATGACCTAAATATGTTATTCTTGTTTCATTGTCTTGTAGGATTTCGACTGTTTTATTTAACATTCCTTCGTAAATGAGGAAGAATGGAAATTTTCCGTTGCATTCATTCGCGGTATCAATTGTAATAGGCCAAAACGTACTTCCGTGGGTAATATCAAAACAACCGTTTTGATCAAAATAATCACACCTTACCCCACTCGGAAGTATGACTTTGCTGTCATGTAAATTTAAAGTTGCTTGGCCTTGATGGAGTCTTACTTTAACTTCATAGTGTACGTAAACTTTTTCGTGTGTCTTTCCATAGTAGTCTACGTAAGTCGTACCAGTACATTTACCGGAGGATGTGTCTAATGATCCCTCAACAATACCATTATAGAAACCTTTATTTTGTCTTATTGGAATTTGTATGAACGGTCTAACTGGATCAACGAAATATTTTCTATTAAAAATATTGGTACATGATTCTTCTGATAATTCGAGTATGTAATTACTTCGCGTTATAAACGTATCCGCGAAAAGACTGCCACAGCGAGTTATCAAGATGGAATAGGAAACGAAACATTGCAAAATATTCAGTGTTTCATAAATCTTATTGCCAAAAATTTGAACTTCCACACTTTCTGTTGATGTATTGGTGCGGGTCAATTTGCACTCTTGGGTGTCGATTAAACTGACAATTGTTCTTTCCGCGTTAATATCTACGCAGTCAAATCCTAATAATTCCGCATCAAGTGATAAATGGCTTGCATTAGTTGCCATTATTAACATCATCCATATGATGTTAAGCATATTGAATCTGCAAGGATAAGAATGGAGCGAATTTATATGGCGATTTCCTTTTTTCAAAAAAAAAACTACTACTAAAGAGAACCCGTGCACTGATTGTCTTTATTTACTATAACTTCGAACCATTCTAAGACTGCTATGTATATATATTTTTTTAAAATGAAAATATCTAAACATTATATTTTGTTAATAAATTTTTGTGAACGATCTTTTCTTTATTGTCCACTAAAATTTTAACGTTTTGTTCATTCAAACTTTCTAACACAACGTAAGGCCCTTTGTAGCGGTGTTGAAGTTTCCGACCGGTACCATGTAATATATTTTTCATGAACACTTGGTCGCCCCTCTTGAAAAAAGCATTGTTTGTTCTGGAATCATAGTAATATTTATTTTTTTGTTTCGCTTTTAATTCATTTTGTTTTGCTATTTCTTTCATTTTATTTAGAATTAGTTTTTGCTGAGACACGTAATCATCGTACGTATAAGACACCGAGTTATCTATGGACAAATTTGGTTTTTTTCCGAAAACCATCTCATAAGGGGTAAATTGAGTTGTCTCATTTATTGATGTGTTATGGGCGAAGACCGCGTATTTCACTAGAGCACCCCAGGATTTTGGGTCATTTTCAATAAAGATTCTTAAGTAATTGCCTAAAGATTTGTGCCATCTTTCTACCTTATTTGACTGAGCATGATAAATAGAAGTATTAATTTTTTTAATGTTAAATAATTTATATAATCTTCGGAACAAAATCGAATTTATATTAATCCCATTGTCACATATTATCATTTTAGGTGGACTAATAAAAAGGATAATATTCTCTACAATAGCTGTGGCGACAGCTTCGCTTGTAGCATCATATAATGGGATTGCAAAAATAAATCCGCTTAAATCATCTTTCGCTGTTAGGACATAAGTATATCCTTCGTAGCTTATTGGTAATGGTCCTACAAGATCTATATATAATTTCTCAAAAACGGTATCGCTAGTAGTCGTTAGTTTCATTGGTGCTTTAACGCCTCTTTTGGATTTATGCACATTACATTTGAGGCACATATTAACAAACTTTTTCACATCTTGTTTCATGTCCTTCCAATAGTAACTTTGCCTGATTCTATTTACGGTACGGTTAATGCCACAATGGGCTGCTAAAAGGGACTCGTGATTAGCTTTTATTATTTCATTTTTTTCATTAGGGTCAAATATTTCTTTTATGTTATTTTTAAAAATAGTGATGATGATTATCATAGGTGGAAATATAAATTTTAGCATTTCTCTGAATAAAAACAATGGAACAGCTGTTACATTTGGTGATATCACTGAGAATTTATTTATTTTCAGTTTTTCAAAATTATTTTTTAATTTCATTAAAAGAGTAAATATAATCTGAGGTGTGATTAAAGAATTTTCGGTATTTCTGAACACCAAAAAGTGAATCTTCTGATCGCTTATAATTTCCCCTACTTCAATATTTTTATTTCTTAACATTTTAGCGTGATTTGGTTTTAAATTGAAAAGGTCTTTATTTATGAAATAAACGAAATCTGTATCATCATTTTCATTGACTGGAGCATTTGTAATCTTAATTGAACTTGGAGTTTTATTCAATGCATTATGTGTTGTTATGAATTGATCAAACAGCTTTTCGACTGGCTGTTGTAGGGTTTTTGCTGTACTTCGTGTCAAAGCGAGAACATTTTTATCGCAAGTAAAATTTTTAATATCGACTAATTCATCTCCGTCAAAAATGACACATTTCTCATGACTAGGTATTCTCGATAGGAAATCAGATATGTTTTTATTTCCGTCAACATGTACAAGTTTCATATTATAATGGGATAATTTTAATTTATATCTGTTTATTTTGTCGTTATTAAACTCTAAGGGTTGATTAATTGCATAAATTAATGATTTTTGGTCCACCATCGATATGAATTCTTTCTCACCGAGGAGATAGTTCTTAAAATGCTCAATAAAATATACTAAACTGTAAAACTCTCTTTCAAAGGTGCTTTGCTTTCTTTGAGATTTTGAAAGACTTTTTGAGCCATAATGAACTACGCAAAGCTTATTATTATCGTCTAATTGCATTAATTGACCCCCAATTGCATAAGAGCTCGAATCAGTGTACAAGATGAATTGCCTGTCCATCCGCGGATGAAGGAGAACTATTGGTGGGTTAATTAATTTTAATTTTAATAACTCAAAAGCTTTTTGAGCTTCATCATTCCATGAAAATTTCGGTTTCGGATTTTTTTCTTTCTTATCTTCGGGGCTTATTCTTAATATTTTAAAAAGTGGTTCACATATTTCTGAAAACTTGGCAACATGATTCCTAAAAAACCCAACGAAAGCAAGAAAAGCTCTCAATTCTTTTAAACTCTTTGGTCTCTCATATTCGCGAATTACTTTGATACGCTCATTCAAAAGAGAGACGCCTTTCTCCCCCACTCTGTGACCAAGGAACTCTAAATCTTTTTGTAAAAATTTACATTTCTTAGGATTTAAACTCATAGAATGCAATCTAAATTTCGAGAAAATTTTTCTGAGTTTATCTATATTTTCATCAACAGTTTTACTTGGGCATACAATATCATCTATGTAAGCAAGAACTTCGGTACCATATAATTCCCCAAGACACTGTTGAATTGTTTGCTGGAACCTATAACAGCTGTCCTTTAACCCAAAGGGGAGGCGCTTAAACTGGAAGTGTCCAGCGTCATTGGCTGAAAAACTTATCTTCTCTCTGTCTTCTTTCTTGAGTTTTATTTGAAAAAATGAGAGTGTTAAATCTAAAGTAGTGTAGTAAGAGTTATTACCTAATTGGTCGAATAATTCTGGTAGTGTTGGTAAAGAAAAGTAGTTTGGTTTCAGATGTTTATTTATATTTCTTAGATCAATTACAAGTCTGTATTTTGGTTTATTATCAGGGGATTTCTTTTTTACTAGTATGATGGGGCTGTTGTAAGGAGAGAAAGATGGTTCAATAATGTCTTGATCGAGGAGTTCCTGAATTTGATTTCGCACTTCTTGTTGATATTGATAAGGGATTTTATACTGGCGAGTAAAAATCGGCTTGGGTGTATTCAATTCAATGGTGTGTTCAACAAGATCGGTTGCTTTCAATTTATCAAAGCCTTCAACGTAAAACACATCATTAAATTCATAAACCAAGTTCATGATCTTACGCTTATCTTGTTCGTTCTCAATACCATCAAGATTAATAGAGTTCATTAATTTGTCAATTCTCTCGGTTTCACTTACTTCATTTGAAAAGAAAACATTTTTTTCATGATCTTTTTCATGATTAATTTTTAATATTTTATTTTTTAAATCAATTTCGCATTTCTTTAAGAAATCAATTCCCAATAAAATTGTTATATTTTTAGGAAAAACATTGTCTTCAATAGCGTGAAGTTGTACGGGAAACATTTTTCTTCGGATACTTATTAAAGCAAATATTGAACCAAGAGTTTTAAAAGCGCTATCGCTACTTCCGTTAATTGTAAGAGTATGTTTGACATCAATAGCAACATCATTATTCAAAATGGACTTTTTAATAAAGGAATTACTCGAGGCCGTATCTAGCAACATATTTACTGGTTCTTTAACTAAATTAATGCTTGCTTTAATGTAATAATTGTTTTCAATATTAAAAATTGCGACTTTAGTGATATTTTCTTCTTTATCAGGGGCATTATTTTTGATGTTGAAACACCCCTTTAATCGTTTTTTTGCTGTTCCTCTTCTATTGCTTTTAATTGAAAGTTTTGAGGAACTTTTCCTTTTCTTCGAAAATCGTTCGTTGTAGGGTTTTGAAGCGACATTTGATTCATATCTCTTTGAATGGATGCAAGTTCGTTCATATAACTTGGTTTATATTTGTAATCGTTAGAAGAAGAAGCATTCTGTGTTTCACGATAATTTGGAACAACATAATTACTGACACTGTTTTGATTTCTGTTACGTCCTTCATGATCATAAAAGTTTTTAGAATTGTTATTTTCTCTGTGATCATTAAAAGAAAAATTTCTTTGGTTGTATGGATTAATATTTGAGGGCCCTTGACGAGCGTTTTGATTATTGAAATTATTTGATGACGCATTAGAAAGATTCTGAAAATTTTTCCCATTCGAATAGCTGTTGTTTGTATATCTGTTTCTCGAATCTTGATAAGGGTGATAGCGAGAGACATCATTTCTTGTTCTATTATTATTATCAAATGAACGAAAAGACTTAAATGCATGACTCTGATTCTGATTATTAAAAATTCTTTTTCTTTGATCAAATCTTTTAAAAGTTGAGTTTCTATTTCGTTGAAAACTTGTGTTTGGATATGATTGATATGAAGAGCCTCTGAATGATTTGTTTTGAAAAGAAAAAAGTTCATTAGAGCTTTTTCTCATGTATGTGCGCAAATCTTCGTAAGACATTTCTTGTTCACTACACTTTAATCTGTAAATGGATTTTAAACCTTTAATAGCCATTTTAGTTAGCAAAGCTGAAAAAGCTTCAGATTCGAATAACGGCGGCTGATTAGAAATTTTTTCAGCCATTTCGTACTCAGTTTTTAAATAATCTACGCGAGCTGAAAAATCCATTAATGATTCTTCGAACCCTTGTTTAATGGAAAGAATGTCTTTCATAATAACATTTGGGGTTCGTTCTGCTCTACCTCGCGTAATAATAAATGAAATAAAATCTTCAAAGGTTTCGAAATTCTGAGNGATCTATATATAATTTCTCAAAAACGGTATCGCTAGTAGTCGTTAGTTTCATTGGTGCTTTAACGCCTCTTTTGGATTTATGCACATTACATTTGAGGCACATATTAACAAACTTTTTCACATCTTGTTTCATGTCCTTCCAATAGTAACTTTGCCTGATTCTATTTACGGTACGGTTAATGCCACAATGGGCTGCTAAAAGGGACTCGTGATTAGCTTTTATTATTTCATTTTTTTCATTAGGGTCAAATATTTCTTTTATGTTATTTTTAAAAATAGTGATGATGATTATCATAGGTGGAAATATAAATTTTAGCATTTCTCTGAATAAAAACAATGGAACAGCTGTTACATTTGGTGATATCACTGAGAATTTATTTATAAACAAATCTCTTAGACTTTAGTGAAATTAAATTCAACTTTAAATTAAATTGTTTGAAACTTATAAAGTCTCTTAGACTTTAGTGAAATTAAATTCAACTTTAAATTAAATTGTTTGAAACTTATAAAGTCTCTTAGACTTTAGTGAAATTAAATTCAACTTTAAATTAAATTGTTTGAAACTTATAGTGAAATTAAATTCAACTTTAAATTAAATTGTTTGAAACTTATAAAGTCTCTTAGACTTTAGTGAAATTAAATTCATAATATGAAAAGAAATTATGCATACTTATGCATAAAAAACTAGCCAACCTTAAAAATTCAACAATCATGATAAGCTAAATAGATTTAAATTAAAATTATCTCATTACAATATGAAAGTTGTACATATTGTCGGCAATAAGGATATTGCGGACTATCCTCTAGAATTAAAACATTCCCAAGTCAAACATTTATTGAAGACGATAGAATCGCGAATGCGAACGATGTACTTGTCGAAAGAACAATGCTTGCAATTAGGAGAAAAATGTCTAAAAATAATCAGTCATCCATTGAAATGACGGTTTTAACTGTTTGTTAATATTCCTTAAGTCTATGACTAGTCTAAATTTCGGAACATTATCTATTGATTTTTTCTTTACTAATAGCACAGGTGAATTATATGCACTCATAGTCGGTTGAATGATGTCTTGATCAATTAAATCTTGTACTTGATTCATTATTTCTTGTTTATATTGGTGTGGAATAGGGTATTGCTTTAAGAAAATGGGTTTATCCGTCTTTAACTCCACCGAGTGTTCAATTAAATTAGTTGATTTTAATTTATCAAATATCGAATATCTTGTCTTTAAGTTAAAAATATTTAGCAATTTTCAGGGATCAAGGTTCTTTGGAGACGTCCAAAAATGAGACATAAACATGCAAAACTTGTACTTCAACAATTTCATTACTGACGTTTACAGTTTTCAATGAACAAGTATCAGAATTTAAAAGGCTCATTGTGTAGGAACACACTTATAAGTGTTGATCATTGATAATTAAGTAATATTACGTATAACTGATTAAAAATTATTCAACCAGTAAAGAAAAAAATTTTTTTTTGGCACAAAATACTAAGTAAAAAAGTAATCAACATCAGTGAATCAGAAAAGATGAAAGAAGAAGAATGGTCCTAAACTTTTCTGGGAGTTTATGATCAAAAATGCATTAAAATAGATTTAGGTAACGTGATTTTATGCATATTTTGTAAGGGCTTAATCCTAAACTCGTCTGAGTTTAGGTTTATTGCGGATGACTCATGCCAAGAAATAAGTCCTTTTTAGGGATTGCTTAAATCCATTTCAGCATAAAATAATAAAATTAAGTGCCTAAATCTTTTCGTCTTCGGAAAGATTTGGCAAGAAATTAGCAGCATAAGGGAAAAGAAGAATCCTTTGCACATGATGGAAATTCCGTCATGCGTAAGGCGGCACGTTTTAGCCGAAGTTTCTTATTTCTCCTTATTGGCCAATTAGTAAATAAGGAACAGAGAGAAATAAATATTAAACTATTTTCTTAGAGACGTCTAAGAAAATATTCAATATCTCGAAATCAATAAGTTAGCATTTGGCGCTAACAGTTTCTAGTTCTTCGAGAATCAACCCGGGTAAGTAAATTAATTAATTAATTTCAATTAATAAAGTAAATCAGGCAGCTTAAGAAAAAGTCTAGTCAGACTTTAGTGAAGGTGAAAAGCCGCGTCAGGCAGTTTAAGAAAAAGTCTCCTGGAAGACTTCCTGAATGGCTTGGTAATCTTCCAGATGAAGAAAGAAGATTAATGGTGGAAGGTGATCAACAGGTTCTGCAAATGCCTGACGTTTCAACAACGGTATTAAACGATCAACTAGCATCATTAGGGCTCCTAAACCATGAAGAATCTCAGCAAATTCCACCCATAGCTGAAATACCTATCCAGCTTCAAAACCAAGGCGCGAGTGTAACACAACAACCTTACTTGCACAGGACGGTGCAAGTGAACAACCAGCCCATAACAGTCAACCATCACTATCACTTCGTACCGACGGAGATATTTTTGCAACAACAACTGTTACAAGATATTCAGCGAACAATGACATCCATATTTCCACTGTACCACTTGAACGTGCGGATCAACTGGGATTTCATACAAATTATTGATGCCCAAGCGATCACCCTGAACCTCAACGACAACAATGGTTGATGACGTTATCCAAAGATGAACCAAAACAAGATAAACATAAACCAAAACTTTTTCAACTTTCAACTAACTATTTATTAACTTAAACTTGTTACATTTACCTCAAATGATAATCATATAAACTCTTTGTTCAAACCAATTAAAGGAACAAATTCCCACCTTTTTTCACTTTCCATCAAAACCGAATTAATCGCTTACTCTTCATAAAATTATATTATAAAAAGAAACAATTTGGAATAAAGTTCAGTCTTCATTATAGTTATCAATAAAACTCATGTATATTATTTAGTATATTTTAGGTTTTATTCCTTTTACAGGGATTAAAACAAATGGTCCTTCGACTTTTGAAATTAGTGACTTATAGTGATACAGTTCCACTGTAGTTAGCGATTGAAGGAAGTAAGTTGATTTCAGCACTGTCAAAAGCCGGCGAAAGTGCAGAAATCAAGTGAAACAAGTGTGTTAATCGCTATCAATTAAGTGCAAATTATTAAACAAAATCATTGAAAAGAAAATAATGACTAGCAGTCAAACTAAACATTGAAGTTCTTAATCAAGAAATAGTTAAAAAAATAAATAAAAGTTTGTGAGCACCAAGAAGGTGAAAAGTGAAGTTTCATAAAAACTTAAAAGTGAAACTCTTGAATCGAAAAGAGAAGTGAAAAACTAATCCTTAAAACAATAAAACAGTGAACAGTTAAATTTTCGTGAAGCTAAAAGGAAAAGAAAATCAATTCTTCAAACAAGAAAAAAGAATTAGTTCTATAAAAAGTAAAAGAAAAAGAATTTGTAAAATGATTCAGTACAAAGTTATCCACGCTTTCGGAAACCCCACTGTAAGACCAGGGCCAGCACCAAACCTCAACTATCGACCAGAAACAGCTTATATAACTTACTTTGAAGCCTCGCAAACAATTCGGCAAGTCGCCGAATTTGGAAAAATCGACGACAACATTCTGATGAGTTTGTGCCCTAACAAGGACACTTTCAAGAGGCACAAACTAACTGTCCAACAAATCCCGTTACTCTTACGGTTATGTAGCCATTGAAGAGACGCAGAAATCCCAGTGTCTCTCAATTAGTAGATTGTGAAAGAATTAAAAGTTTAATAAAGAAAACCTAGTGAGAGAAAATTCGCCTAGTTTCATTACCTTACATTACAGCGAGAAAAATAGAAGTAGGCTAGTACTATTATATATAACTGATTAAAAATTATTCAACCAGTAAAGAAACAAATTTTTTTTGGCACAAAATACCAAGTAAAAAAGTAATCAACATCAGTGAATCAAAAAAGAAAAAGAATTACGAAAATGAACGATTTTTTAGAGTGAATTTGTTCAGGTTCGTGAATCACCAACACGACCTGAACATTGGGTTTTTTGGTCATAAACTCGTCTGGGAGTTTATGATCAAAAACTCATTAACGCATCGTTTCATCAGGTAATGAATTACTGGAGCAAGTTAGTAAAGCTGTTTTGTTTTTAGCCGAGTAGCATGATAAGAAAGAACAAATATCTACGGGGTCCGGATTTCATTTGAGAGAAGAAATGTAACGGGTAGAGGAAATATTGTTAAAGACGCAACATGAGAAGACCTCGATCACCCAAGTCTCACCGAGATAACAGATTTTCAACCTTTTTTACGACTGTAATAAAATCACCATGTATGTAACACGATCGCTCATGAAATCTCATGTTACGCCACTCGTATAATTTAGGCTATTAAAATTATCAAATGATTGTAAAGTTGTAAACAGTTTTTATAGCCAATAGATTATTAAGCTATAAAAACATGCATGATTACGCAGTGGCCTTATCAGATTACACTTCGTGAAAATTACATCGGCCCAGCAACCACGATCGCGGTGATCGTGTTCACGAAGAAAACATGATGATAATAGAACATATAAATTAAGAAGAAACCGAGCAATGATCGTTCAGTTTTTACCACCCTACAATTAAGTTGTATTCTAATACGAGTCAGAAATATTAAGAGAAATAAAGTGAAGTTTGAAGAGTTGGAAGTTAATATCATCTGTTGTTTTATTATTCACTAAACACCGTTGGACCTTCATCCCCTTTGCAGCGATTCCTCTCATCATTAGAGAACGGACCCGTTTCAGAAATGGTGCCAACATTTAAAGGTGACATCAAGGAATATAAACCGTTTAAAGAAAGTATGACGACAGCGCTGGAAAGAATGGAATTATCTACATTATCTACAAGAAAATTACAAACGCGCATGGGAAATGTTAGATCGAAGATTCAACAGCAGACGGCAAACTTTGACATGGAACTTAGTTATTTTTAGAACTGAAACCGTTGTTTCGTGTTTCGTTGAAATTGGTTCTGTAAGCATTCATGGGATAATATTGTGAAAAATTTCTAACGTTATTTTCCCTTGCATTATTTAAAAATCTGTTCTGAAAATTTCCATTGAATTTATGCTGAGAAAAATTGCTGTTATTTCTTGGATTGAATTTTTGCTGTGGGACATTAAAATTTCGATAATTATTTCGATTGTCATACGTTTTTTATTGAGACTGAAATTATTGGAAATTATTCTAGTTATTGAAATTTCTATTTCCTTGAAAATTTTTTCTGTATTCCCCTTGAAATAACGATTTTCCGAAAGATTAAACAACACCTGCAGGTGCTGATTTCTCACTCATTTATTGCGTCTGTTACATTTGTGAAATCCAATCACCTATTTGAAATATTTTCTCATACTCAACATTGTCAATTGAGTTAGTAAAACAATATATTGGAAAATTTTGTTTTTTCGATTTTTTCGTTGAAAAAAAATCATCGGATGATATTTCTGTACCAACATCAATAATTAACCCACTTCTTGGACTTAAAAATTTTTACCACTGACAACCATTAAAGAAATTTCTGTGTGCGGCCTTTTAGAAGAACAAACAGAACTTCCAAAGCTGATTANATGTATATTATTTAGTATATTTTAGGTTTTATTCCTTTTACAGGGATTAAAACAAATGGTCCTTCGACTTTTGAAATTAGTGACTTATAGTGATACAGTTCCACTGTAGTTAGCGATTGAAGGAAGTAAGTTGATTTCAGCACTGTCAAAAGCCGGCGAAAGTGCAGAAATCAAGTGAAACAAGTGTGTTAATCGCTATCAATTAAGTGCAAATTATTAAACAAAATCATTGAAAAGAAAATAATGACTAGCAGTCAAACTAAACATTGAAGTTCTTAATCAAGAAATAGTTAAAAAAATAAATAAAAGTTTGTGAGCACCAAGAAGGTGAAAAGTGAAGTTTCATAAAAACTTAAAAGTGAAACTCTTGAATCGAAAAGAGAAGTGAAAAACTAATCCTTAAAACAATAAAACAGTGAACAGTTAAATTTTCGTGAAGCTAAAAGGAAAAGAAAATCAATTCTTCAAACAAGAAAAAAGAATTAGTTCTATAAAAAGTAAAAGAAAAAGAATTTGTAAAATGATTCAGTACAAAGTTATCCACGCTTTCGGAAACCCCACTGTAAGACCAGGGCCAGCACCAAACCTCAACTATCGACCAGAAACAGCTTATATAACTTACTTTGAAGCCTCGCAAACAATTCGGCAAGTCGCCGAATTTGGAAAAATCGACGACAACATTCTGATGAGTTTGTGCCCTAACAAGGACACTTTCAAGAGGCACAAACTAACTGTCCAACAAATCCCGTTACTCTTACGGTTATGTAGCCATTGAAGAGACGCAGAAATCCCAGTGTCTCTCAATTAGTAGATTGTGAAAGAATTAAAAGTTTAATAAAGAAAACCTAGTGAGAGAAAATTCGCCTAGTTTCATTACCTTACATTACAGCGAAAAAAAAAAAAGTGGGCTAGTACTATTATATATAACTGATTAAAAATTATTCAACCAGTAAAGAAACAAATTTTTTTTGGCACAAAATACCAAGTAAAAAAGTAATCAACATCAGTGAATCAAAAAAGAAAAAGAATTACGAAAATGAACGATTTTTTAGAGTGAATTTGTTCAGGTTCGTGAATCACCAACACGACCTGAACATTGGGTTTTTTGGTCATAAACTCGTCTGGGAGTTTATGATCAAAAACTCATTAACGCATCGTTTCATCAGGTAATGAATTACTGGAGCAAGTTAGTAAAGCTGTTTTGTTTTTAGCCGAGTAGCATCATAAGAAAGAACAAATATCTACGGTGTCCGGATTTCATTTGAGAGAAGAAATGATGCCAACATTTAAAGGTGACATCAAGGAATATAAACCGTTTAAAGAAAGTATGACGACAGCGCTGGAAAGAATGGAATTATCTACATTATCTACAAGAAAATTACAAACGCGCATGGGAAATGTTAGATCGAAGATTCAACAGCAGACGGCAAACTTTGACATGGAACTTAGTTATTTTTAGAACTGAAACCGTTGTTTCGTGTTTCGTTGAAATTGGTTCTGTAAGCATTCATGGGATAATATTGTGAAAAATTTCTAACGTTATTTTCCCTTGCATTATTTAAAAATCTGTTCTGAAAATTTCCATTGAATTTATGCTGAGAAAAATTGCTGTTATTTCTTGGATTGAATTTTTGCTGTGGGACATTAAAATTTCGATAATTATTTCGATTGTCATACGTTTTTTTTTGAGACTGAAATTTTTGGAAATTATTCTAGTTATTGAAATTTCTATTTCCTTGAAATTTTTTTCTGTATTCCCCTTGAAATAACGATTTTCCGAAAGATTAAACAACACCTGCAGGTGCTGATTTCTCACTCATTTATTGCGTCTGTTACATTTGTGAAATCCAATCACCTATTTGAAATATTTTCTCATACTCAACATTGTCAATTGAGTTAGTAAAACAATATATTGGAAAATTTTGTTTTTTCGATTTTTTCGTTGAAAAAAAATCATCGGATGATATTTCTGTACCAACATCAATAATTAACCCACTTCTTGGACTTAAAAATTTTTACCACTGACAACCATTAAAGAAATTTCTGTGTGCGGCCTTTTAGAAGAACAAACAGAACTTCCAAAGCTGATTATCGTTCCATCTAAGCAAATATAAAGCTGATAATAAATAAGATAATATATAACTGATCAAAAATTATTCATTCAGTAAAAAAACTAGAAGTTCAAGTGACCTCATGTAAAGACACGATTATTTTCGGATTTCAACATTTTTTTATGACTTTGTCTTAAATTAAATAAATCTTTATTAATAAAATAAACAAAGTCATCATTGAATTAAATACAGATAAACCGATTTACACTAAGCAATGGCCCACGCCCACTCCTTATCAATTTTGCCCGGAACTTATAAAACAGTTGCAAAATTTATTAGATCAAGATATTATAGAGCCTACAATGAGTCCCTATAATAGCCCTGTGTTACTTGTAAAGAAAAAAGTGACGATAATGTCCCAAAATATAGATTAGTTATTGACCTGAGAAACATCAATAAACATTTAAAAGGTTCTTTCTTTTCTCTTCCCACTATTTCAGAAATGTTCGATCAAATTGGTAATAATACTATCTTTTCTTCATTAGATTTATCGTATTCATTTTATCAAATTAGATTAAAAAAGGAAGATAGAGATAAGATTGCGTTTACAATATCAGATATGGGAAGGTTCACTTATAAGAGACTCCCTTTTGGGCTGCGAAATTCGTCTTTTATTTTCCAACACATGATGCAACTCTGTTTATCAGAGCTTTATGGCTCTGATGTATTAGCATATATTGACGATTTAATAGTCCCTAGTATGACAGTAGACGAGAACCTGAACAAGTTAAGAAAAATATTTGAAAAATTCAGGCAACATAATTTAAGTTTAAACCCAAAAAAAATGTAAATTTTTGTTGAAGAATTATTAAATTCTCTTCTGTTTGTTTGAAAATTATTATTGTTTGAAAAATTATTTTGAAAGCCCAGTTGGAATCTTCTTTCTCGTTGGAACTGATTGAAATTATTTCTTTGTGAACGATTATCGAAAAGTCTTCGTTGAGAAAAATTCCTTTGAAAATTAATATTTTGTGAAGGAAATTTATTCGTCCACAAAGTATTTTTTTTAGAAAATTGTTGAGTTTGGGATGGGATTTGAAAAAATTTATTCCGATGAGCGAAGAGTTCATTTGAACTCTTGATCAAATAATTACGCAAGTCAATATACTTCATGTCTGATTCGTTGCATTTTAATCTATATTGTTCTCAGATTATGAAATTGAAATAAAGTCGAATTCGGCAAAAATGTCACGTTTACAGTATTCAAATTCTTTTGTTTAAACCAATTAAAGGCAACAACTCCCACTTAAATTCCCTTTCCCCACCTTTTATATTAAAAGCGAATTAATCGCTTATTCATCAATTTAATCCTATTATAAAAAGAAATAATTCGCAATAAAGTTTAGTATTATTTTATAGTTCTGTAACGAACTTCTTATTCAACTCGGGGTCTTCTGAAAACTCAAGTCACTTTCACTTCAATAGAAACAGATTGATTATTCTTTCAACACTTTTATTTTATTTTTAATGTTCACTCTTACAAAATGAATTTAATTAATCTTAAAGGATTGAAAAACTAAGAGCCAAGAGCCTCGAGCATGAAGTGCTCTCGGCTTTTATATTAAAAATGTTTTATCTCTCAGCCAATCAAAGGGCTGAGAGATTGTTTAGTTTATAATCATCCCCACTCCAAGGGATGATCACGAGGACAGTGTCGCAATCTCAAGTGTCTGATGTAGAAATTCCTGCGTACTATACGCAGTTTTCTACATCAACAGTTGAGATTGTTACATTTTCTTATATATTTGCTTTTATTTCTTATGATACAATGTTGGGTTTTTAAGGGTTTTTATTCATATTGATACAAAACAGCGATTATAACAACTAACTATTTTTTAATAATTTTAATAATTNATAAATCTTTATTAATAAAATAAACAAAGTCATCATTGAATTAAATACAGATAAACCGATTTGCACTAAGCAATGGCCCACGCCCACTCCTTATCAATTTCGCCCGGAACTCATAAAACAGTTGCAAAATTTATTAGATCAAGATATTATAGAGCCTACAATGAGTCCCTATAATAGCCCTGTGTTACTTGTAAAGAAAAAAGTGACGATAATGTCCCAAAATATAGATTAGTTATTGACCTGAGAAACATCAATAAACATTTAAAAGGTTCTTTCTTTTCTCTTCCCACTATTTCAGAAATGTTCGATCAAATTGGTAATACTATCTTTTTTTCATTAGATTTATCGTATTCATTTTATCAAATTAGATTAAAAAAGGAAGATAGAGATAAGATTGCGTTTACAATATCAGATATGGGAAGGTTCACTTATAAGAGACTCCCTTTTGGGCTGCGAAATTCGTCTTTTATTTTCCAACACATGATGCAACTCTGTTTATCAGAGCTTTATGGCTCTGATGTATTAGCATATATTGACGATTTAATAGTCCCTAGTATGACAGTAGACGAGAACCTGAACAAGTTAAGAAAAATATTCGAAAAATTCAGGCAACATAATTTAAGTTTAAACCCAAAAAAATGTAAATTTTTGCAAACCAGAATGGAATTCTTGGGTCATAAAATCGGAAGGGACGGTATTTCAATTGACGATCAAAGAATAAGGGCAATAAAACAATGCACACACCCTACATCAATAAAAGAACTTCGTTCATTCATCGCCTATGTTGGGTTTTTCCGAAAATTAATAGCCCACTTTGCAGAGATTTCGGAGTTTTACGATGACGGAATTTTAGCGCCAGTAGCTTTCGCCTCGAAAACTTTAACAAAGACTCAAAGGAAGACTTCGACCTTTTCGGCTTAGTCTGGGCCGTGCAGCTATTTAAAAACTATTTATTAGGTAAGCGCGAGTTTTTAGCTTGCGTGGATCAAAAAGTGTTTAATGCACGCAATTAGCCAACCCTTGGAATTTAATAATGATAAGTTGAACAGGTATAAATTAAAATTATCCCATTACAATATGAAGCTTGTACATATTGACGGCAATAAGAATATTGCCGATTATCTCTCTAGGATTAAGGAATTTTAAAGTCATATAATAATTAAAGACAACAGAATCGTTGATGCGAACGAAGTACCTGTCGAAAGAACAATGCTAGCTTTAACAAGAAAAATGACTAAAATTAATGAATTATCCATTGACAAATTGTATGATCAATTTGTAACAACGCATAATTCATTGAATAAAACTCCAAGTTTTATTAAGATATCTAATAATGCAATTAACGACGATGAAACTGGATTGTTCCAGTATGTCAGTAGATTTTAATTTATCAATACCTTCAATATAAAATACATCCTTAAATTCTAAAATTAAATCCATTAGTTTTCCTTGATCATCACGATTGATGTTCTGAAGATTAACTGAATGAATTAACTTCTCATTTCTATACAAGTCATACATTATTGTAAGGAAGCATTGGATTTAATAAAAAATATTAAATCAGTAACAGGGGGTGAATTAAATGCATGGTATAAATTAACTAATCGTTACGATAACGATAGAAAATTAATTCATACTGAAGTTGACAGAATATATCAACTAGAACGATCTCCTGATCGTTTCAAAGATATAAAAAATATATTAGACGCAAGCTCTCAAGTTTTAAGTAATCTTGAAGGCATTGCCCAAGAAAAAGAGCAATGTCGCGCTCAAAAAGGAAAGTTTAAGGAAAAAATTATGACAAAACAAGAACTTCGCATTGAAATTGCTAACAATTTCTTTGTTTGTGTAATAGAACAAAAATTCGACCATCAAACATCAATGGACTTTGAATTCTATTTAGAAGTAAAAAATATAAAGGATATTTTCATCGATGCCGATGTGGTAATGGAATTTTTGGAAATTCAATTTAGGAAGTTGCAAAATACTTCAAAAGACAAGGAAAATGTCTCGCACGTGAGAAAGGTACAAGTAACCACTGCAAGGTCAGGTTTATTGTGCTGGCATTGCAAGGGCAACCATTCTATTCGGGATTGCGAAAAATTAAAACGAATGAACAGTGATGAACGTTATATAACAAATAATAAATTAAAAATGTTTAGAAATTGTCTTCTACATAATTACAATGAACAGGAAATAATTTTCTTCTTATTGTAATTAAAGCGTTGACTGCTCCGAGAGTTAGAAACGCACTCTCATTACTGCCATTAATCGTAAGAATAGAATTTTTGTTAATTAAAACATTTTTATGCAACTGCATAACTAATGAAAGAGTTGCTTGAAGCTGTATCAAGCAACATACTAATAGGTTTTTTGACTAGATTTACACTCGCTGTAATGTAATGGTTAAGTTTATCATTCGTTATTTTTATTTTCGTTATATATTCATTATCTACGGGCTCCTGACATTTTTTTGCAAGACGCCCTACAATTAGTTTCCCTGCTGATTTAAGCTTTGATCAGCTACTTGCTGTAACTGATAATTCTGTGAAAATTTTACTTTTTGTGGAAAATCAGTTGTTAAGGGTCTCTGCTGAGAAGTTTGAGCAATATTTTTCCCATATGCTTGGGGAAAAAAGGTATTATTAGAATTGTTTAGATTATCTTGAGTGTTTGATGGGGCTCCGGTTACATGTTGACGCATGAAATTATTAGAGTTATTGTTTATATCTTGGTTTTGTGAGCGTTCACCATTATTATGAAGTTCTTTATGAAAATTATTATCTTTTTGAACGAAAAATCTGTTTCCATTTGGAAAGTTATTTTTAGAACCGAAACCGTTGTTTCGTGTTTCGTTGAAATTGGTTCTGTAAGCATTCATGAGATAATATTGTGAAAAATTTTTAACGTTATTTTCCCTTGCATTATTTAAAAATCTGTTCTGAAAATTTCCATTGAATTTATGCTGAGAAAAATTGCTGTTATTTCTTGGATTGAATTTTTGCTGTGGGACATTAAAATTTCGATAATTATTTCGATTGTCATACGTTTTTTATTGAGACTGAAATTATTGGAAATTATTCTAGTTATTGAAATTTCTATTTCCTTGAAAATTTTTTCTGTATTCCCCTTGAAATAACGATTTTCCGAAAGATTAAACAACACCTGCAGGTGCTGATTTCTCACTCATTTATTGCGTCTGTTACATTTGTGAAATCCAATCACCTATTTGAAATATTTTCTCATACTCAACATTGTCAATTGAGTTAGTAAAACAATATATTGGAAAATTTTGTTTTTTCGATTTTTTCGTTGAAAAAAAATCATCGGATGATATTTCTGTACCAACATCAATAATTAACCCACTTCTTGGACTTAAAAATTTTTACCACTGACAACCATTAAAGAAATTTCTGTGTGCGGCCTTTTAGAAGAACAAACAGAACTTCCAAAGCTGATTATCGTTCCATCTAAGCAAATATAAAGCTGATAATAAATAAGATAATATATAACTGATCAAAAATTATTCATTCAGTAAAAAAACTAGAAGTTCAAGTGACCTCATGTAAAGACACGATTATTTTCGGATTTCAAAATTTTTTTATGACTTTGTTTTAAATTAAATAAATCTTTATTAATAAAATAAACAAAGTCATCATTGAATTAAATACAGATAAACCGATTTGCACTAAGCAATGGCCCACGCCCACTCCTTATCAATTTCGCCCGGAACTCATAAAACAGTTGCAAAATTTATTAGATCAAGATATTATAGAGCCTACAATGAGTCCCTATAATAGCCCTGTGTTACTTGTAAAGAAAAAAGTGACGATAATGTCCCAAAATATAGATTAGTTATTGACCTGAGAAACATCAATAAACATTTAAAAGGTTCTTTCTTTTCTCTTCCCACTATTTCAGAAATGTTCGATCAAATTGGTAATACTATCTTTTTTTCATTAGATTTATCGTATTCATTTTATCAAATTAGATTAAAAAAGGAAGATAGAGATAAGATTGCGTTTACAATATCAGATATGGGAAGGTTCACTTATAAGAGACTCCCTTTTGGGCTGCGAAATTCGTCTTTTATTTTCCAACACATGATGCAACTCTGTTTATCAGAGCTTTATGGCTCTGATGTATTAGCATATATTGACGATTTAATAGTCCCTAGTATGACAGTAGACGAGAACCTGAACAAGTTAAGAAAAATATTTGAAAAATTCAGGCAACATAATTTAAGTTTAAACCCAAAAAAAATGTAAATTTTTGTTGAAGAATTATTAAATTCTCTTCTGTTTGTTTGAAAATTATTATTGTTTGAAAAATTATTTTGAAAGCCCAGTTGGAATCTTCTTTCTCGTTGGAACTGATTGAAATTATTTCTTTGTGAACGATTATCGAAAAGTCTTCGTTGAGAAAAATTCCTTTGAAAATTAATATTTTGTGAAGGAAATTTATTCGTCCACAAAGTATTTTTTTTAGAAAATTGTTGAGTTTGGGATGGGATTTGAAAAAATTTATTCCGATGAGCGAAGAGTTCATTTGAACTCTTGATCAAATAATTACGCAAGTCAATATACTTCATGTCTGATTCGTTGCATTTTAATCTATATTGTTCTCAGATTATGAAATTGAAATAAAGTCGAATTCGGCAAAAATGTCACGTTTACAGTATTCAAATTCTTTTGTTTAAACCAATTAAAGGCAACAACTCCCACTTAAATTCCCTTTCCCCACCTTTTATATTAAAAGCGAATTAATCGCTTATTCATCAATTTAATCCTATTATAAAAAGAAATAATTCGCAATAAAGTTTAGTATTATTTTATAGTTCTCAAGAAAACTCACGTTTATTATTATTTAGATAAGTTTAATCCTTTTACAGGGATTATTAAAGTGGTCGTTCGATTAATATAAATTAGTGACTTATAGTGATACAGTTCCGCTGTAGTTAGCGATTGAAGGAAGTAAGTTGAATTCAGCACTGTCAAAAGCCTTCGACAATGCAGAAATCAAGTGAAATTAGTGTGTTAATCGCTATTAAATAAGTGCAATTTTTTAAATCATTAAAAAGAAAAACATTAACTAGCAGTCAATCTCAATTCTGTGTTTTACTATTTCTTAAAACGTGTTCATAACTTGGAAGTAAAGAAAAATCAAAATTAATCAAAATCCCCTTCAAAATATCTTTGAAATCCCTCGCTAAATATCATAAGTAAATTTAGAATAAACCAATAAAAAGAAAGAAAAGAATTGCTAATTAAATTGTCAACGACTAATCGTTTCATTAAAATAAACTCAAAAATCCTTCAAACAACTTTTAAGAGTCAAATTCCGTCGGTAAAAACATACTTATGCTTAAGATGCATATTTCCATAAAGAATTGTTTATCAAACTCAAAAATCCTTCAAACAACTTTCAAGAGTCAAATTCCTTCAATGAACAAGTATCAGAATTTAAAAGGCTCATTGCGTGGGAACACACTTATAAGTGTTGATCATTGATAATTTAGTACTATTATATATAACTGATTAAAAATTATTCAACCAGTAAAAAAACAGATTTTTTTTGGCACAAAATAATAAGTAAAAAAGTAATCAACATCAGTTAATCAAAAAAGAAAAAGGATTACGAAAATGAACGATTTTTTAGAGTGAATTTGTTCAGGTTCGTGAATCACCAACACGACCTGAACATTGGGTTTTTAGTCATAACAATATTTAACGATAATAATGATAATCAATGAAGCGAAAATAAGTATTTATGCTGACGACACGATGCTATCAATTTCGAGAAAAACAGTAGAAGAAGCAGTGACTGAAATAAACAAAGAGCTTGAAAATGTATCTGATTGGTTAAAATTCAATCGACTAGCTGTGAACGTGAAGAAAACTCAATGTATGATAACTAGCAAAAAAAGAAATGAAGAAGCAGTTGTGAAAATCGATGACCAAAAAGTTGAAACAACGACGAAAGTGAAATATTTGGGAGTTATGTTGGACAACCAGTTATCAATGCGGCAGCACCACGAGTATGTAATGAAGAAGATGAAGAAAAAGCTGGGATTACTGAGAAGAATTCAAAATAAAATGACTCAAGAAAGCAAACTAACGTTCCTGAAGTCTCTGGTAATGCCTCATATCGACTACTGCTCGACGATCCTATTCACGATGGACACAAATCGAATCAAAGAATTCCAGAAAATTCAAAATAAATATATGAGAATAATCCTAAAAGCTAAATATGACACAAGCTCGAAATTAATGTTAGAAAGATTAAAGTTACAAAATGTTAGTGAGAGAATAAATTTAAACACGATAAAGTTTATATATAAGTTAGATAGAGGCCAATTGCCAAAGTATTTCGATAATAGATTGAAGACTAGAAACGATGAACATCAAAGATCATTAAGAAATAACTCCGATTATTCAATTCCAAATTTTAAGAAAGCCATAACCCAGAACTCTCTTTTCTATAAGGGTTTAAAAACATTCAATGAATTTAAAAAATCTTTTGTTAAATCGAGTCAAAGTTTTAAAATGTTTGTAAACGAATATGTAAAAAACATAAATCAATGAAAAACGAAACCAATTGATATTGGTAAATAAAACACTACATTACATTATTACATAAACTCGTCTGGGAGTAAAAGTAAAAGCTCTTAATCCTGGTGGAAGAATATGCAATTTCAGGGGGTCAATCGATTGTGCGTTGGAAATTTCCGTTATTTCCGAAAGTATGGCGCAACGATTAAATTTAAAGACCTCAAATTCAGAAGTAGACTTTGTTGTAATTACAGGTTTTGCAAACCACAAAATCAGTTCTGAGTGCCAACAGAACATTGTAAACAGTGAAATTGTTCAGACGGCCAAATGAAAATTTCCATAAGCCGTCTGAGGGTGACGAATAGGCCAGACAAGGAATGAGTCAAATGATCCCTCTTCCTGATTTCTCCGAATCTTCATCACCAGCAGCTCCATAAAACCCTTGAGCCATAAAACTTCTGTTATGACTCAACGGTTTTTTCTTAACAATCTCAGACTAATTATGACCGAGGTCTGGAAGATAAGGGATGAGGTTCGATAATCCTCATTTCTGTCTTCTCTGAACATTAGTCATTAATTCATAAAATCCCTTTTTCCAAGAATTCCTAATTATGGAATTTTCCCGAGACCAAGAAGCCCTGATTGGCTTTCAAGTCTCTGAGGCTCTCTCACAGAACCAAGTCCTCTCATTTCCTTCCCCCTCTCCATTTCATTCTTTTCCTATTTAAATTAAGGTTTCAAGGTTTCAACATTATAAGTTCAGTTTCAATTTAAAACTCCAAGAATAAAATTATTAGAAAAGAAAAATTATTTCAAGTGTTTTAATATCTTCTTGANGCCATTGAAGAGACGCAGAAATCCCAGTGTCTCTCAATTAGTAGATTGTGAAAGAATTAAAAGTTTAATAAAGAAAACCTAGTGAGAGAAAATTCGCCTAGTTTCATTACCTTACATTACAGCGAAAAAAAAAAAAGTGGGCTAGTACTATTATATATAACTGATTAAAAATTATTCAACCAGTAAAGAAACAGATTTTTTTTGGCACAAAATAATAAGTAAAAAAGTAATCAACATCAGTTAATCAAAAAAGAAAAAGGATTACGAAAATGAACGATTTTTTAGAGTGAATTTGTTCAGGTTCGTGAATCACCAACACGACCTGAACATTGGGTTTTTAGTCATAAACTCGTCTGGGAGTAAAAGTAAAAGCTCTTAATCCTGGTGGAAGAATATGCAATTTCAGGGGGTCAATCGATTGTGCGTTGGAAATTTCCGTTATTTCCGAAAGTATGGCGCAACGATTAAATTTAAAGACCTCAAATTCAGAAGTAGACTTTGTTGTAATTACAGGTTTTGCAAACCACAAAATCAGTTCTGAGTGCCAACAGAACATTGTAAACAGTGAAATTGTTCAGACGGCCAAATGAAAATTTCCATAAGCCGTCTGAGGGTGACGAATAGGCCAGACAAGGAATGAGTCAAATGATCCCTCTTCCTGATTTCTCCGAATCTTCATCACCAGCAGCTCCATAAAACCCTTGAGCCATAAAACTTCTGTTATGACTCAACGGTTTTTTCTTAACAATCTCAGACTAATTATGACCGAGGTCTGGAAGATAAGGGATGAGGTTCGATAATCCTCATTTCTGTCTTCTCTGAACATTAGTCATTAATTCATAAAATCCCTTTTTCCAAGAATTCCTAATTATGGAATTTTCCCGAGACCAAGAAGCCCTGATTGGCTTTCAAGTCTCTGAGGCTCTCTCACAGAACCAAGTCCTCTCATTTCCTTCCCCCTCTCCATTTCATTCTTTTCCTATTTAAATTAAGGTTTCAAGGTTTCAACATTATAAGTTCAGTTTCAATTTAAAACTCCAAGAATAAAATTATTAGAAAAGAAAAATTATTTCAAGTGTTTTAATATCTTCTTGAAGCTATTAAGCTTCAACAAAGTGGCGATCCAACCAGAATGATGGAAAAATAGAACGAATAGTGGAAAAAATAAGAGGAATAGTGAAAATAAAAAACAAACTGAAAGTTCTTCGCTTCTTAGCTAAGAACTGTGTGAAAAAAAATTTTAAAAGTTAGCTTATCAGTTAACCAGTGAAAACAAAAACTTATAAGAAACTTATCAGTTAACAAAAAAAAAACTTTAAAGTGAGTCTAACAGCTAAAAATCATAAAGGAAAACAGGGTTGAAGAGAACCTGGAGAGCGTGAGAGATCGCATCCAGATTCTTCTCTCAGAACTCGACCCCGCTCATTCCTCGGAAAAGCTCCTGTATGCGGCTACGAGCAGCAAATTGCTGTTCCAAACTATGCAGAAATTGGTTAATACGAGTCACCTGACTCGCCAATTTTCTGCAAATATAGCCGGCATCAAGGAACTCTATAGCCAAATCCTTAGTTGGATGCTGACCCACTCACCAGAAATGGCAGCGGTAATGTCCGGCGTCGAGGATAAGCTAGTAGACGAAGAGAAGTATCAAGGAACATCAAAAGATGACGAGGATAAGTCTGGAGGAATTTACGAGCTCCCCAAAAAACTAGAGAACACGAAAGCGGAAGATAAGAAAACGAACGAAGAATTACTCACGCACGCTGTGGCTTTGCTGACTCAGCATGTCACGGCAGCAAAACCCAACAATTCATCGTCGTCATTTTGCCTTACGGATGCTATGTTACCATACTTCTATGGTAACATGAAAGAATATAAAGCATTCAAGGAAGGAATGATGACGGTGTTCAACATTATGCAGAGCACCCCTCTGGAGAGGTTTATGGTGCTGCGTTCCAAATTAAAGGGCGCAGGACTTAAAGTCATTCGAAACGCTTTCGGTGACAGTGGGGAACTACAACAAGGCGTGGAAATTATTAGATCACCGCTACGATAATAGACGAGAATCTCTCACCTTGAGCCTAAACTCTCTCAAGGCTCTACCAAGAGCCGTTAATGGTAACACTGAGTCTATTTTGTCAGCGCTGCAGATATTTGAGGGACTGGAAAATAACTTGGAGGCCCTTCAAGCAACAATCGACGAATACAACGTGTTTGTGGCCCTCAACGCCCTCGATACGGACTTAGGGCATAAGTTCGAACATTGGATAGGGGCGCCAGAGGTAATACCTACATCGCAAAGGCTAAAAGAATTCCTAGATTTGGAATACAAAATCCAATCAAGAAAAGATCGATGACATCCGACTGAAAAAAGAAAGCCACAAGAACTAAAAGGTAGAACAAATATTAATATCGGACTACTGTGAACAGCTTTTCAAAACAAAACATAGACTGGAAGACGGAAGATATGTGGTCCCAACAACGTGGGGATATCATTGGATATGATCTTTCAGAAGACTTTTGTGCATCAGCTAATCAATGGTCACTACCTAGACAAGGAAGCCTTCGTTTAGATATTAAATTTGCTGAAGTAAGTGCATATGTCATTGAAACTGTAACACAAAAGCATTAAAACATAATTTATTTTCACTTTTAGCCTCTGAAAGAGAACGTCAACTTGATTATTTATAGTGAATTTGATAATTTAAAAGAAATTGATAGGTATTTATTATCATAAAATGAAAAAAAAATGTATTCTAATCATAAATTTCATGTTTTAGTGACCGTAACGTCTATTTAGATTATGCTAGTTAAGAAGAAGAAAGAAAATGTATATGTTTGAAATACAAAACTTTATGAGAAATCAAGTGAAAGAATGGAAAAATGTTTATGTGATTTCATCAGACAACTTTCCTTCAAAGTTTAAGACACCAATTGGAATTATTTGTAATACAGCTTGGGCTGGCGAGCCTGGAATTCATTGGCAAGCAATCTTCATAGATGATAATAATAATTCAAAGTTCTTCTGCAGCTATGGTAGTGCTCCAAAAGTGAATACAATTTTAAGATTTTTGAAGAAATATAGTAAATCTATTGAGATTAATAACAAATGTTTACAGAGCATGAGCTCGAAACTATGTGGTTCTTATTGTTGTATATTTATTATGGAAAGCTTTAAGAAAAACATGACAATGAAGAGATTTCTTTTACCGTTTTCATCAAACACAATAATGAATGATAATCTAATTTCTAAATGGTTTTCACGTTTTCAAAAGAATATTCGAAGCATATAGTTATTTATCAAAGTTTTATGTAAAAAAAAGATGTATCACAGTACATGTTCAATACAAACAGTATGTAATTCAATCAATTTCTAAAATGTTTTTTTTCCCTTTTTCTTTTTCTTGATAGAACATATGAAACATAAGTTATTTCAATAAATATGTAGACGAGTTATTGTAAAAGTTTAATCCGACCGATATATGTAATCCAAACCAAAATAGTTTTTAAAAATAAAAAAAACGAGTAGAAAAAGAGAAGACTTCTTCTTTATATTCGTCAATTCTTTTCGTTCATTCAATCCTTCACACATATCATCATTTTCTATCATTCTATATTATTATCATTTTCCATCATTCTCTATCATTAGCATTTTCTATCATTCTATATCATTAGCATTTTCTATCATTTGTTATCATCTGCTCCTCAACATACATATATACACTACTCAATCCTTATAAGTTATATTCCTACTACTAACATTTTATTTGACGAATCGTAGACGTTATCCAATTCACTTTAAAATGTACTTATATTCTAAACATCATTAACTGATGCTTTTATGATTTTTAACTTGTCCTATAAGCAGAACAAACAGAACTCCAAATCTCAAGAACTCATCGTCCAATGAAAATAAAGTACACAATAAAAGAAGCGTACGATATATTACATATATATAACTGATTAAAATAATTCAATCAGTAAAGAAACACAATATTTAATGTCTATATGATAATATTTAAATAATTAAAAACTATTTTGTTTCAACCTTTATTGTGATCACTGATGGAAGAACACAAGATTCAATTGTAATTAATTTAATTTTTTTTAATAAATTATTTTTCTCACTATAAGGTACTTTATCACTGAACTCTTGAACTAAGACTGAGCTCCTAAATTGAATTTTGATGTTTCTTTGAAAGTGAGAGAAATTAATTAAAATTCGCATTTTTCTCGCTCTTTAAAACATCTGGTCATAAAAATTTTCCAGCAATTAGTTCCTTTTTGTTTTGTTACTTACATGCTTAAATTTTGGTCGTTATTTTGAAATGATTCAAAAGTATAATTTAATGTTCACTACTATAAACCTCTTATTGTGATCACTGATATGTAGAAGAATACAAAGGAAAATATCAAAACTACATTAATTTAATTTTTTTAATAAATTCTTTTCTCACTATAAGGTACTTTATCACTGAACTCTTGAACTAAGACTGAGCTCCTAAATTGAATTTTGATGTTTCTTTAAAAGTGAGAGAAATTATTCTGGTCATAAAAATTTTCCAGCAATTAGTTCCTTTTTGTTTTGTTACTTACATGCTTAAATTTTGGTCGTTATTTTGAAATGATTCAAAAGTATAATTCAATTTTCACTACCATAAACCTCTTATTGTGATCACTGATAGAAGAATACAAAAGAAAATATCAAAACTACATTAATTTAATTTTTTTAATAAATTCTTTTCTCACTATAAGGTACTTTATCACTGAACTCTTGAACTAAGACTGAGCTCCTAAATTGAATTTTGATGCTTCTTTTGTTTATGCTTCTCATCTTCTCTCTCAGTTCTGGGAATTCCACAGAATTCCATGACCAGGTGTTAAAAGAGCGAGTAAGAAGAAGAAAATATTTATTCTTAAATGAAGATCCTTTAAGGGTGAGGGTAATTAAGGAAGAATTCACATCAAAAGGTATTCTATCGAAATGTTTTTTCATAAAAATTGCCATGTTCCTAGAATCTGCTTAGTTTTTCTTGGAATTTGTCTTATTAATGGTGCTTTTGTCGACCAAATTTTTCGATGAAATACCCTATGAATCACATCAAATACTGTCGTTTGCATCTCAAATTTACTTTCGATCTCTTTGTATGTAAAATATCTGTTTTTCTAATTTATTAAGATGTCATAGCTTTCTCCCTTAAGAAAACTTTAAAGTTTAATTTTCTTTTTCTTTAAAAAAATGAGCACTTTATTTAATCATACATTTTTTATTTCAATCTGACTACCTAAGTGAAAAAGAAAAGAGAGAATTTTATTATTTCTCCTTTCTTCTTTCTCTTTTTCTTTTTTACATAATTTAAATTTCCAATCTCACAACAGATGGCAATGAGGTTTAAGTAGATCACAAAGCACAATTTACAAAATGAAAAGCTCGATTAAAAGCTTGTGATTCAGAACTTGTGTTTTTATTTTTCTATTTGTATTTGAACTTGAAATATTAAGCAAATTTACAAAACTAAAGCAAAAATCAATTAGTTGTAAATAGTTGAAATTTACAAGGATTTCTTGTTCGACTATTATTAACACCGAATTTATGAATAGAAAAAATTTATGAATTTTTCAAGTTTCATCAAACATTTAGAACCTTTCTCAATTAAAATATCATTTATTGAAGTTCACTAATATGATACACGTTAAGGTTATCTTGCAAACCATCCATGAAAACATTTGGGAACAGGAGACGGCATGTTTCTGAATTCACATCGGCCCAATTCCTTCATTGTAACAGCATTCAAGACGAGTAAACCAACGCGCTTTTCGTAATTTCCACCCCATAATAATGCAGCAAGTACAATTCCATCATCTTCAGATTTAGAGTTTGGCGACGGAACAAAAATTGGTTCACTTGGATAACAGTTGGATTCAGTCCATAAGATTGAAGTTTTATTGACGACATCAATCTTGATCAGTGAATTTGAATTATCCTTCTCGAAACTGACTCCATACACGAATTTGTATTCTTTGCCTAAATAGTTCTCATAATTTATTCTTGGAAGTTCACACCTTGAGTCACTTAAAGGTTCAGGAACACAGAAAATCATTCCATTCGACGACTTTACATAAGCTGAAGCTTTTGTGTTCGGCAACGTTACGAGATTTTCGTTTTCTTTACATGATAAAATTTTCACATTACACAAAGGTAAGACAAATCGAAATGGTTTTGCTAAAGTTATTTTAAGCAAGTCAGATTCCTTTTCCAATTCTTTAATGCTCTCTAAATACAATTTGTTCAACACAGAGGCATCAGATAAGCAGCAAATATCGATGACAATGTGATTATCTTTTTCGTATTGGTTGATGATGTGGAAATAGGTGAAAGCTTCGGATTCAAATTCGTACTCAACTTTTCCTGTTTGTCTGTTAACTACACAAAATCGACAATTTTCTTTTGGTGACCACTTCATCAATTCGGAAACTGTCGTCTTTTTGAAATTTTTTTTAAGTTTAACAGCAACAGAAATTGTTAAAGGCTGTTCGACAATAATGAAGAAGTTTTCAGTTACTCCAAATGTGTGCATGTAACCAGGGTTGAACTTCCATCGAACTGGAACTTCAGCAACAATTTGTGCATTCTCAAAACATTTTTCACCTGTTTTTAAACCGAAAATTTTATATTTTGGCCCAGTTAATGAAACTGAAAGTCCTAGGTTGAAAACTGTTCCATCAGGCATGACATGTGGATGAGATGTATGATAGACTAAACCTTTGACATATTTTAATACTTTCACAGTATTTTCCGTTTCCAATGTTGTGGGATTGATTTGATGAATAACCGGAAACTCTACAAACGTGTAAAACTTGTCATTAATTGGATAAATTGAAATTAAAGCATTATCTGAAGCCATTTCACTTAGATGAAATATCGCTGAGATTTTTTGAAAGATGCTTTGACATGGATCCGGCACTGAAGAAGTTCCAAACTCAGACACAACAATTCGATTAGCTGCAAGATTTTTCTTGTATGTTTCACTTTTAAGGAACCTGCATTGATATGTGACTTTCCCACCCACGATGTTGAATCGATGAAGCAAAGCTGAAGCATCGAATAAATGATTGAAAATCATGTCACCAACTTTTATACTTCCTGGGCCGTTTCTTAATAAACTTCCATTAATCCATGACGGAATTTCTCCACTTACAACTCCTTCAATGGGCTCAATAATTTCGTGTTCACATGATCGAAGACAAATATTTTTTAAATCTGATTTAGAATTTAGTTTGATTACGTTCGAAGACATCAAAATGAATTTTATAAAACTTCAATAATAAGTGAAAATATTTTCAAATGTACACTTCAAGGATGTAGCTGAGACTAATTCAAACTGAAGACAAAAATCATTTCTTTTATTTTATTCACCACAATCAGCCGTCGGAACCGGTAATAACGAAAACGAGAATGCATGCGAATCACTTGGTACTTCAATACTAACAAAACATTTTGTTGAAGATCATTAATTATTATTTCTTGTTACGTTATTGCCGCAAGAACTTCTTCATATGTTCTTATACAAGTCACACTCAAACATTTAAAAATGATCAGCGATTCAATTCACGATGTAAACATTTTAGATATGAATCTGAAAGGGGAATAAATATCATCCATAAATATCAAATAAATCACCAAATATGTGTCTGAATCTTATAATATCAAAGTGCTTCATTAAGCGTCGCATCTTCTCACATCGTTTCTTTACAACAAACCATATAAATATATCGAAAGTTTTTTTATTTGAATAATTAATAATTTTAAACATAAATTTTACATGTACACGTTGACAATTAAAGCAATGAAAACTACAAAATTTATTCAATTGCAACATTAATTAAATAAAATTTTAATTCCTTCTATCAGCAAACCAGCCATGAAGACATTTCGGAACAGGCCCAGGAAGATCTTTAAATTCACATCTTCCAATCTCTGTCATGGTTTTTGCATCAAGAACTAATAAGCCGACTCGATTTTCATCGCCATTTCCCCATACAAGCGATGCTAGAATGACGCCGTCATCTTCATCTTGTGATTCTGGTGTTTGAACAAAGATCGGTTCACTTGGATAGCAATTATTTTCACACCACGTTAGCTTTGTTTTTTTCTTAACATCAACTTTGATGAGAGTGCCAGGATTTTCCAAATCAACATCAGAACTTATCGCGTAGAAAAATTGATAATCCAATCCGAGATTCTTTTCGTAATTAATTCTTGGAGTTTCACATCCCAAATCGCAAAGTAATTCAGGTTTGCAAAAAACTGATCCATCAGGCATTGAAAAAGCTGCTGCTTCAGAATCTTTTAGCATCACGAGATTGTTATTATCGATTACGTCACTTGCATCATTGGGATCTTCTAAACTTTTTGAAAAGAATATTTTTAAACTTGTCAATGATTTTGGCTTTTTTGGACGATTCAGTGGCAAAACAAATCGAAGTGGTCGACCTCTGAACATCTTAGCATAGTCTGGATTGTTTTGCATGTCTTTCATGCTGTCAATATACATGCAATTCAACATTTCTGGGTCACGATAACAGCTAATATCAAGCACAACGTGATCATCCTTTTCAAACTGATTTATGATGTGAAGATAGAAAAAAGCTTCGGCATGGAAAGTGAATTTAAGTTCGCCACTATCGCGATCGATTAAGTAAATGTAAGTTAATTTATCTGGAAACCATTTAAGACATGAAATCATTGGTTCATTTGTGAGTTGAGACTTAATGACAGCTGGGACTGAAACAGTGAGTGGTTGTTCAACAATAATAAAAAAGTTTTCAGTTATTCCAAATGTGTGCATGTAAGATGGATGAAGTTTCCATCTCGTTGGAACTTCCGCAACAATTCTTGCATTCTCAAACATTCTTTCGCCTTGTGGAAAGCAAATAATATTGTAGGCTGGGCCTGATTTGGACACTGACATTCCAAGATTGAAAACTGTTCCATCTGGCATGACATGAGGATGCGAAGTGTGATTGACAATTCCAATTTCATCCGACAAGTTCACTTTGTCAAGTGTTTCCAAAGTTTCAGGATCGATTTGATGAATTATTGGACTCTCAGTAAATGCAAAATACTCGTCATTGAAGGGATAAATTGAAATCATTGCATTGTCAGAGTTTGCTTCAGCTGGTTTGAATAAAGTCGCAACTCTGAAAATAAAAGTTAATTAAGTTAACACGATGATAATTCATTTAAATTCTCTTACTTTTCAAAAATGCTTTGACATGGATCCGGCACTGAAGAAGTTCCAAACTCAGACACAACAATTCGATTAGCTGCAAGATTCTTCTTGTATGTTTCACTTTTAAGGAACCTGCATTGATATGTGACTTTCCCACCCACGATGTTGAATCGATGAAGCAAAGCTGAAGCATCGAATAAATGATTGAAAATCATGTCACCAACTTTTATACTTCCTGGGCCGTTTCTTAATAAACTTCCATTAATCCATGACGGAATTTCTCCACTTACAACGCCTTCAATGGGCTCAATAATTTCATGTTCACATGATCGAAGCCAAACATTCACGTCGCAGTTTGGATAGCAATTCTCACGTGGTTTGTTGTGAGTGAAATGATAATCTTCGTCGTCATCAAGATCGATAATTTCGATTTCGTCTTCTTCCCCGTCTTCAGTGAGAACCTTTGCAATGATAATTTGGTTAAAATCAACCGATTCTTTCCGATAAACGACACGTTTTTGGAGGTTTGAAGGATAAGGAACCGAGTCGTAGCTTCCCGTGGAAGGTCGACGTTCTTTGATTGTCAAATTTATGTGAGAAAACTCGTCAGATATCGAATGATCGTAATAAACATCAGCTCGCATACTTTTTCGTCTGAGTTCTTTTGTTTGAGTATGAAAACGACGCACTGCAGGTGAATGAACAAGACTCGAATGAGCTGTTGAAGCATTGCTTGGAGAGTATTGAGGTTTCGGCACAAAAAGTCCATTCACACTTAAAAGATCCAAATTTTTAAGCACTTTCGAAGGTGTATGCATGGGAGATTTATCAAAAAACTCAGGTTGAGGGACACTTAATTGAAGGTCACCTTCCACCATTTTACTTTTAATTTTTTGCCAAGACATTTTCACCACACAAGAGTTTAAAATAAACTAAATTAGCTGGTGAATGGAGAAAGCCTTTTTATACTTTTTGTAATATTGGAATGAAGAACGTGGCATGTAAAGGAAAATCGTGAAAAACATATTGGAAAAAGCTTATGAAATTTCTTTGTTTTCTTACGTAAATTGCGTGTTTTCCCATGCATCGTGTTTGAGGAATCAAAACAAAAAAGAAAACATTTATCAGTCCTAGTCAATAGTTCTCGTGAGGAAAATTAAGTTGATTAGAATATTTTTACTCTTACGCATCTCATCAGGTGAATTGAGAATTTTCCCCAAGTCAAAGAATCCCAAAGGAACATTCGTAAGCACGATTGGGAAGGAATTTGATTTAATTTCAAAAATATTAGAATTTTGATGCTAAATTTGTTTTTTTTAATTCTTTGATTAGCCTTAGACAGAAATAAAACACGTGACGATTCATTTTCCGCCTTCAAACAAGAATCGATATTTGACCTTTGTCCGAATGTTTACTACGTGCTTGCAGTCATTCACATTACAATAATATTTATTACCTTTGTACTTATCCTGTCTCTGTTGCCGCCATTCAGAAAGCTTTTTATAAATTTCCGAAAAATCGATTTCAAGCTTGAATCAGAAGTTCGAATCCCCGACATTAATCTGAAACTTAACTTAAGCTTCAAACGAATCAAGCAGAACTGAAACAGAATGAAACTCTTCAGCAATAAAAACGGTGATTTATTCAATCAAAAAATTATATTTTTATCAATTGATAAATGTTGCCTTTTCAAGATTCAAATGTGAAAACACAAATTGATTCAAGCATCATCAAATCTCTTATCAGATAAAATTTAAATAAATAAATTTTTGCAAACGATCGTCGCCATTTTTTTTATTTATGCACATAGAACATTAATCATGAAGCATTTATAATATAAATTGGCAAAAAATAGTAACATAAAAAATTAATCAAATAATCAACAATTCAAATGATAACAAAAATAATTCTTTTATAACTTGTTCAAAACCTTTTCAATCTCACTCACAACTTTACTGTCGAAGGTTAACATATTTCATTTGTTAAATGTCAAAAAGGAAAAATCATTACGTGAAGTTAAGCAAAACATAAATAAAATTTCATCCCTTGGCAATTATTCAGCTTGAAAGAAAGGCAAGAAAAATATTTAAAACTCTTTGGGAATTCGATCACGCAGATACGAAAGAATGCTTTGAGTTCCACTTTCGAGAATTTGATGACGTGGAGCTCTGAAACTGTTGCCATGAAGTAAAAGTGTTGTGATTTGGGTCATGTTGCCAAGGACTGGTGGAACAGTTTTTATGTTGTTGTTAGATAAATCAAGAGTTGCAAGTCGCTTCAAAGCTCCCAAACCTTCTTCCGATGCATCAAATTCTTCGATTTTATTGTCACAAGCAAGAATGATCTCCAAATGAATCAACTCGTGAATGCATTTCGGGAATGTTATGAAACGATTGTTGGCAATGTTTATCTCGCGCAAAGTTATCAAAAGTCCAACTTCATCGGGAAGTGAATCAAGATGATTGCAACTTAAATTCAAATATTTGATGTGATCAAAATCAGACACAAAAGGTTGAATTTCGGTCAATAAATTTGAGTTCAAATTGAGTTCGGCAATCATTGGACTGAGATGTTTCAAACCTTCAGGTAATTGTTTTAATTTGTTCTTCGTAAAATCGACGATAGAAATTTCAGCTTGTTTAGCATCAATAAAAAGTTGTTCGGGAATTTCGGAAAGATTTTTGCCACACAATGTCAAGCTTCGTGTTTTCTTCAGTTGATAAATATCAGGAAAAAGTTTCTCAGGAATAGTCGGTGACTGAGTAACTTTCATCGTGTTCACATTTCCTTCACGATCTTTCAACGTCTTCAGGATTCTTTGCGTTCCACAAGCAATGATGTCACGTCGTATTGATTTTATCGGATTTCCTTCCACTTGAAGACTTACCAGATGCGCCAATGTACTTAAAGATGATGGCAAGCTATTAATAGAATTGTTTGACATGTCAAGACGCATTAAACTTTGCAACATGGAAATTTCATTAGGAAGTTTCGCTATTTTGTTATCGCGAAGATCCAACACTTTCAAACTTGGCAATTTTTCGCAGAATCTTTCTGGAATTTCACTGATAAAATTATTCGAAATGTGAAGTTCTTGAAGATGCTCGCATCCTTCCAAATCCGGAAGTTTATCAATGTCGTTATGTTGGGCATAAATGAACTCAATACGTCTCAAGTCACCCATGTATTCAGGCAAGAACTTTATGTCGTTATTCATCATGTCAAGCTTTTGAAGGTCTGAAAAATTATCACAATTTAAGATCTGAAATTTAATTTAATTATTTTTATTTAAGAAACTCACTTCTTAAACTTGTTATGTCATTAGGCAAATTTTGTAGCTTATTGTGGTGAATCGATAAGTCGGTTAAACGTGTTAAAAATCCAATTCCACCAGGAAGTGACTCAAGTTGATTGTTAGATAAGTCGAGCACCTCAAGCATTACTAAATCACTAAGATCTGCTGAGATATCTTCCAATGAATTGTGCGATAAGTTAAGATATTTTAATTCTCGAAGTCGAAAAAATTGACTCGGTAACTGTTCAATGCGATTTCTACTCAAGTTTAGTCGAGTGAGTTTCTCCAGCAAACCAATTTCAGGCGGAATAGTTGTTAATGCATTATCTTGAAGCTATTTAAGGTTTTAGTTTTTGTTTGTTAAGTGTCAGTGTTAAGAGTGTCAGTCATTTTATTAACTTACATTTAAGACCGTCAAATCTAAAAGATTTCCGATGTTTCCGGAGATTTCAGTGAGAACATTTGACGACAGGTCGAGATGCTTGAGACTTGCTTGGTTCCACCATAAGTCATCTTCATTAGGCTTCTGATTCAAATCAAACACATCGGAATTGATTTTTCCGGTTTCTCGTAGATTCCACACTTTCTCCGGAACTTTAAAGGTCAAAAAGATAATATTCAATGTTAATAAATTAATCAATTGACCTTGTTAAAAATAAAATAAGCAAACAAACTTATGATTTGAATATATTTGCGCTTCGGATATTTTAAACGTCTTGACATTATAGCCTGAACTTTTGAACAACAAAAGATTTAAAATCTCTGCGAATTTTATGAATTTGCAAATTGAATTTCGCAATCAGTCAAGGGTGAAAGAAGCGAACTCGTGATTGAAATCATATCGATTTAATGTCATCAATAATCATGCAATATCCACTCATGTGAAAAACCATTTAATTTGATGTACCATTCAAGGTCTTCATATTTGAATACAAATCAATATCACTATGCAAACTCTTACCAAACTTTAAATTTTTCGAGGAAAGCTCCAATTTTCCAGATTTGAGCGCTTGTTTGATGACTCCGTTTGTCAACACTTTATCATCCTCTTCTTTGTCTTTAAAATGAAATAAAGGATTCAATTCATCTTTTTTGATGCGACTTTTAACATTCGATCTTTTCATTATAACTCTTTTACAATGGTGTTTATGTTTTAGGTACCTATTTACAAATTTCGCTTTCAAAACAATAATAAATTAAGACAAAATTTCAATAATTTGAATTTTCACAGAAATTGTAACTCAAAATTGAATTTGTCTTAACTTTATTCAAAAACCAAATGACCGTTAAAATTTTAATATGACATAAAAGTTCACCACATAACGTGATTTTATCAAAAACATTTTTATGACCCATAATCATCGGCTTATGCGGAACTCACAAATTCTTTTGTTCTTAAAATCTCTGATGATTACTGTGCTCAACAAAATGTCATCATCAATGCATTATAAATCGATTACAATCGTTTAATGCTTACGAAGGCGTGTCAGTGTTATGAGGTGCGTCTTCAAAATAACAATTAGATGATTTAATGTGCTGCAATGAATTAAGAATGATTCTTGTGGTTTAAATCACATGTTTTGTTGAAATTATATGATAACAATCAATAGAGTAAGTCAACCACAAATGAATTTGTTACAAAAGATAGTGAAATGCAGTTCAAATGCTGCGTACACAAATGACCTAAAAATTATGCTTTTGTGTTGCAATTGTTAAATATTTATAGAACCACGTGAGTAAATGTCTGAGTATTTATTGACTACCGCTTATATTTTCATTCGTGTAAATGGTTTTTTGTACCTGTTTAAATTTTTATTAAAAGAAGTCATTTTCTAAAATTATCCAACTAATTTCGATGAGATATTTACATACAATAATTTATATTTCAAAGATATTCTTCAGTCGATCGTCAATTTCACGGTGATTTATCGAATCATTCTTAATTTGACAGACAACACGTAGTATTAAAGATGCTGTAAAAAAACTTACGTAATATTCTAAACAGCTCTAAGAGCCTATCTAACATTCAGCTTCAAAGTTCAAAAGAAACCTTTACAAAAGGTGAACAAGGTCAAGTGATTGTCGCAAAAACATTTCTCAGGAGTTTTTTCTCCTATTTTTAATTTTTTATTTACAATATTTATTGGAGAAACTAAATTGTTTTAATTTGTGTTGAAACTTTTCGCATTGATATCAGAAACGTCAATGAATAAATTTGTGTGAGCCCTTGTCGTTGTAAATTATTCTCCTGCATGCAATTGAAATTAAAAAATCTTATCTCGGGGATAATTCAAAACTTATGTACTCGAAGATTAAGTTTTGGTTTAATATCGTGAGATGTTTTTATGTTTATTACGTAACATCTGTAAAGTGTCTAACATCTCCGTAGAATAATAATTAGATTTATTCTTTTTTACACACAAAAACGTTGTTCCGAGTCTGAGCTCTCTCATTCTATTCCGGCGCACACGAACGTCGGCAACAGGTCTCTTAAAAGAATCATCATTTCGTTTTCATTCAGCAAACGATTCGGTCGTGGTGAAGTGGATGTGATAATTGAATAGAAACTAAAAAATTAAATGATTAGAAATGAAGGTGATATTTGTGTATAAAAAATTGAGTTGTTGAAGATCATTAGACAATTGACAGCAAACACACAAAAATAATCAAATAAAAGTGTTAACACGTCTTTGTGGAAGTTCATGAAGAACAACAATAGAAGTCAATTAATAATAAATTCTTTATAATGCAAATCATCAGAATAATTAAAAGAAGACAAAGAGTTTAGAATAACTCAAACTTGCCGCTATCACGTGTCGTTTGAAATGATTTCATCGGAAAATGTTTAAAAATAAGTTTTGTAAAAATGTAATAACTTTCATTGTGTTAACATTCATCAATAAAGTTTGTGGTCAAAGCATCAAACAATGTGCTGAATATCAAATAAATTTTGAAAAGATTCTCGGATTTCGACCGCCGAAATTTTCTTCATCATCGGAAAATTACGGAAAATCTTATGAAGAAAAGATTCTTTTTAAAACGCTGCCACAAACCCCATCAGTGATTAATTTACAATGCATGGAGTTGTGTAAAAATGATCACAATTGTGAAAGTTATGTTTTAAACTTCAATAAATCGGAATGCTACGGTTTCACTAGTAACGAAAAACGATTGGAAGTACACAACCTTCGACGTCTAGATGATCATGAACTTGTTGAAGATATCAGTGTTGTTTACTTTGTCAAAACATGTCTAAACAGTGAGTGTAACGCTTATAATTCTCATTCATTCATTGAGTTAAGTTCCCACAGCTAAATAGCAAATCATGAACATTTTCCTTCCGCGACATCGCTAATTTAGTAATCTAGTGAGGTCATTACGAGTGGACATTCTTGATAAATTCTTTATGAACTCAACAACTCAAGATAGAAAAAGTCTTTAAATATTCTCGACCTTGCTATGTCGCGTTACATTGAACGTTTAATATCACGTGAAGATTATTTTAATCATTCTTTTATGTTCTCGTGAGTAGCGCGATCGTGAAATGTGAATATCTTCGTATTTGATTCATTATGGGAAAAAATTTGTTTAAAAAATTTAATTCAACTTATTCATAAAACGTTTTCAATAGCTTTTATGATGGACACAAACGATGTTTGACTTTAACAGTTTTCGGTAGTTTTATTGAATTTGTAATTGTTTTTGTTTTCGTATTTTATTTTTTCTACATTTGTGTTCGGTTGCAATAAAAATGTTGGTAATCACGTCGACTCATGCACCTTCTAATTAAAATCTTATAAGCAAAGGTTATAAAGTTCATTGCTCAACATTGAAATCTTTCCACAGTTCCACTGACATGTAAAACTACTTTATGGCCACTGTTGCGAATACCCGGCAGTTCACTCATCGGACGTGGCTATCTGACAATAAACAAACTCGTAACACGACGTGAATGCGTTGAAAAATGTCTTTTTGAATCATCCTTCAAATGCCGATCAGTTTCATTTCAAATCTCACAACGCAACAACATGGTTCGAATGGGATTTTCAAATATTCTGAATAAAAGTATAATGGGACGTTGCATATTGAGTCGAGATGATAAAAACACCGAACCAGACTCATTTCGTGTCGCTCAAGTCAACGACGAATATATCGAAAATCAATGTCAAGTTGTGACTAATGGCGCTGATGAAAAGTTCCTTGATGATCTTTGTGCTTACGAACATTACCCAGAAAGCTCTTTAATTTATGCTGAACGTGAATACATCGGACTTTCAGATCGTGAATGTCAAGAGAAATGCTTCAAAGAGAAATTCTTTTTTTGTAAAGGTTTAACTTACCAAAAGAGAGAACGAATCGATAATTCGCGATGTTTCATTCATTCGGAAGACGTCGTTTCAATGGGTCCACGAACAGTCGTTCCGATGCGAAACTCTTATTATATGAAAAGGGTACAATGTCTCAATCGTAAGTGTTTATGAAGATTAAAATCTTTTCATCATTAAGTATTAATAAGTAATAAAGACGAATTTGTTTTGCAGTAAATATTCGTTGTACGTCTAATGAAATGATCATCAGATATCATCCACGGCAGTTCTTTCAAGGTCGAATGTATACCGAAAATCATCCAGACGAGTGTGGGGTGTCTGGTTCAAGTTATGGCCCAACATTCTTAACACTTCCGATAGGATCGTCATTGAAGGAGCAGCGTTGTGGGATAATTCGTGCTTTTGATTTTGAATCACCAAATCGAACTTTAATCTTCACTCATATCATTATTCAAAATAATCCCGTGGTGATGATGCAAAGCGATCGTTACATAAAAGTTGGTTGTATTTCGAAATACAATCGTACGAGTGCCAATGGAATACCAGACTTTGTGTCGCTAGAAACATCAATGGAATTCGGTAATAAAGACTACGATGGAAGTGGCTCGTTAGTGATTGATGACGGTGGAGATGTGCCAACACTTAATGTATTCATTTTGGATCCGATTGAAGATATTCCAATTAAAGAAGCACGAATTGGACAAATATTGAAGCTTGTAATCTCGATGGAATCTCATATCGATAATTATGATCTTCGTGCAATTAATTTAACAGCAACTTCTGAGTTTGATCGATTGGAACTTATCGGACCGACAGGTTGTCCTAAAAATTCTGCAATTTTTCCAGCACTTCAACATGAGACAAAAAGTCGATCCCGACAACTTGTCACTAAATTTAAAGCTTTCAAATTTGCTTCGTCATCTCAACTTAAATTGAGTGTCTCAATTCAATTTTGTTACAAGACTTGTAAACCAGTTAATTGTGGCTATGGAGTGATCTCACATGGTCGACGAAGAAAGCGTCAAACATCGCCATCACTTGTAACGAAAGATGATTCAATTTCGGTTACATTTCCTGATGAAGTTGATCAACTTACAACATTAGAGGATGACGCAGAAGTAACAACGATAACTTATGAAGAAACTTCATCAACAGAGCTTACAAACGTGTCAATTCCATCGGATCAAATGCTAGCTAAAGAAACGTTAAAGTCATCAGGCATTCGAGTTGATGCATTTGGAAATCCTATTGGCATTCAGCAATATCTCGGAGGATTGCGTGACAAAGAAAACGAAGTTTCTGTTGACGAAACGAATCAAGGAAAGAACATTGAGAAGATAATGACAGTGCCACTTGATGTTACTTTAATCGTTCTCGAGGCAGATGTGAATGGAACTGATCGTTTAGTGATTGGTGATGTTGATCAAGTTTATGTTGCTGGTTTAGGTGAGTGCCGTCAGTAGCAATAAAAAAATTTATTTTAGTTATGATTTTTATCTCTTTTCAGCTTCTTCAAACAGTCTTTGTCTTGATCAATCTCTTCTTCTTGCTATTTTAATCTTTTGGATTATTTTCCAAACTTTAATTCTGGTGGGATGTTGCATCATGGTGAAACGTTATCGAAAGTTTCGTGAAATGGAAGACGATCAGAGTTCATTAGAAAATCCATACTATCAAGATTCTTTGGATAATCGACACGTTCGTTGGGCAGATCAAGGAAGAATTCATAGCGACGTCGTTTATCTTCAATGAATATTTTAACCGAATTTATTTATGAGAATGAACTTAAACTTATTTATTATTTACGCACATTTTATTGATGCAAATTTATAAATTAAACTCTTGACTTAAAACCATAAATGAGACTTTGAGACTTCAGGTTAATTTTACTTACCAAACAAAAAAGAAGTTTCAAAGTTTAAAATAATTGAATGAATCATCACGCTAATTAAGATCTTCAATTGATTTGATTTGATTGATTTATAAAATAAATTTTATTGTTGTCTTTGTTAAACAAATTAAACAATTTGAAAAGAGTTTTTAAATTTATTCTTTAACTTGACGTCCTTTGACGAAAACTTTAAGAATATTTCGATCGTCTCCAGTATATAAAAACTTCTGTACAAGTTGTTGGAATTTTTTTTCCGCAGTCAACGAAGCTGTCAAAGCATTTGGAAGATTAAATTTATCTACAGCACCTGAATAAGTTTCAATTAAAATGGCATCAAAATCTTTTCCAATTTTAAAGTTTCCAATTCGTTCGTCAATTGAAAGAGCTTCAGCACCTCCAAGAGTTGCTAAATAAAGCGCTTGTTTGTAGTCAAGCGGCTCGTATTGGGAATTTTCTTCTTCATTTCCATTGACTTTGCCAGTTCCAAGAACATTTTGCTTCTTCATGAAATTAATATGATGCGAAACATCCAAAGCACTTCTTAGAGTTTCGAGAATGCTGATTCGATTTCCTCCCGAAACATCAGTTCCTAAACCAACGCGAACACCCTTGCCAATCAAACGCTTAACATCACACAATCCTGACTTAAGATTTGTATTCGAATGTGGACAATGAGCGACTGACGTTCCTCGTTCGGCAAACAATTTTACTTCATCATCAGTCAAATGAACCGCATGAGCCATGATGCATTTATTTGTGAGTAATCCAGCTACATCATAAACTTGAGCATAATTGTCATGTCCCGGAAACAACTCCATTGTGAACTTAATTTCATCAAGATTTTCTGAAATGTGCGACTGAATTGGCAATTTGTACTTATCAGCGATCACCGCCAATTGCTTCAACAAATCCATACTGCAAGTGATTGCAAATCTTGGTGTTATTATGAAAGATAACAAATCTGATTTTAAACTCAGAATATATTCAATCACTTCGATGTTATCTTTGATAGATTCTTCAAATGTTTCCCTTATAAGGAAAAAAAAAATGCAAAATTAAATCAATATTTAAATTACAGTGAAAAATCTCTAAACTGATGATTATAACAAACAACTCACACGTATGTCTCTGGACTGTATTGATTCATTGAAACTTTACCGATGAATGCTCGCTGACCCATAGCAAGTGCTTCATCTGCAAGAACCTTACAAGCATCTTTATGAATTGTTCCGAAATAAGAAGCTGTTGTTGTTCCACTATTGAGAGTTCTCCTCTGAATGAAAAAGAAAACAAATAACATTGATAATTATGAATAAATTCATATTTCAATCCCTGTTTGTAAATCGACATAAACTTACAACAACTTTATTAAAAACATGTTTCGCGAAGTTCTTATCTTTGTATTGACTTTCTAATGGAAACGTGTATTCGTTGAGCCATTCCATTAGAGGTTTATCTAAGCCAAGACCGATGTTTGGAACTTGAGGAGCATGAATGTGAGTGTCAACAAAACCAGGAAGAAAGAATTGAGTTTCAGTTAATTGGACTTCTTCAAAATCTTTCTTGTTTGGATGATTCCATGTTTCATAAGACGATTTCTCTCCTACTGCAACAATCTACAATTCATACACATACACTCATTCTTTTAGAGATTACACAATTCACAAAATCTAATTACTTTTCCATCTTCAATTGCAATGAATCCATTTAAAACACTTTCTGACCTTTGAAATGATAAACTATGAAAGAAGTTTCCAAAAAATACTCTTCGTTCCATGTCAGCTTCGCTAGTCTGAAAAGAATTTATTTTTAATCAACTTTAATTACCGATAAGCTCTAAACTTTTCGTCTAGATTCTCTGATAACATTAATAAGACTGAAATGTCTTGTGAAATGTTAGTTGACCAAATGAGTCAAGCTTTATTTTAAGCTAAATTAGCTATCTGTGTACTCAGTTGGTGTACGACTTCCTTTAAATTATAAAAATTAGATATTTTAAAATAATCAATGTTTTTCCATGGTTGGTTGCTAGGTTGGTTGCTCAGCTAACCCGCTGTTTTTCTAATGTTTACTTCAAATTGAGATTTTAATTGAAAACATCATTCAATGTTTTCTAATGTTTTCTAATGTTTTCCAATGTTTTGCCACTTGTTGATGTTTTTGCTGAATGTATCAAAAAATCTTTTCTAAGCATGTGGTGGTGGGAAGCTTTTATTAGAAAAAGCTTTTTTATTCATTTTTTCTCACCATCTCATACAAATGATTTAAAATAACTGAAAACATTTCGATCTACTTTCAATGAAGACAGACTATCGACTGTCAAGTTGATGTGCTCAAATTTTATCGCAAAAAGTTTTTTATTGCTTTACATGCCCAACCAATATTTGTTGAGATAACGTCGAAAATATTTTATTTACCTCATTGAAGTGCGATAAATATTTAAAACAGTTTGAAATTTAGTTTGAGGTGCGTTTTGCGTTTCATTCATGCAAAAGAGCGAGTTATCCTGACCTATGTCAATGGTTGAAAAACTTTTTTTTATTATGTTTACATACTCATGTCGTAACTTGTAATTAAAAATATCAAATATGCTACTTAAATTATTTAAGCATACATAATTATGTATATGAAAGTAATTCTTTGAAGAAATGGTGGCAAATTTATTAATTCGATGACAGAAGCTTTATAGACAGGAAATCACAGGAGCGGAATAAAACAATTACACAATTTCTTCCTTTCCTTGTTGTATCTCATCGAAGAGTTGTTGGTAAAAAAATTTATCGTTTGAAAATTGAGAAAAATGAGAAATTTCTTCCACATCGGTTGATGGAGAATTTCGTGTGCTTTGATATAAAAGCATGACGAGAGACTGAACTTTTGCTTCATTCTCATTGTGAACTTCATATCGATAACACTTGTTGATTGCAGCAACAAAACAAAAGAGTTGTATAAGTATATTGCCGCTCTTTTATAGAAAACTGAATTAGCATTTTTGTGTTTATTATGAATAATCATGTTGTGGTAAGGTAGAAATTAATTAAAAATAGAAAGGAAGGAAATTTACCGTCAGGTGCTTCTTTGAGTGAAAAAACTTTCAAAGGGAAACTTTCAATATGGAAAACGTTTTTGAGAAAAATCGAGCAATATTAACAGCAATAATATATGGAACTCTTTTATTGGATAACATTCTGCTGACTGTAATTGGTAATTGAAAAAATAATTCTAATTACTAGGTTCAGTTTTAGTTTGACGATTTCAATTTTCAGTTCCAATTCTGCCAGATTTTCTTCAATCATTTAACAACAAAACCCAATCAAAATTGAACATTCCATCAAGCGTTCTCTACAAAAGCTTTGATTTGCATTACATTCCAAATAGTATGTTAAATAAACATCCAGTCGCTGGCAATACCTTGAGAAACGTATCAAAGGATCATTTATTGCAACATAACAACGGACAAGGCATTTCTACTTTTAATGTTGAGATGGAGAATGGAAACGTTGGAATTTTACTTGCTGTAAAAGCTTTTGTTCAATTATTTTTCAATCCGATTGTTGGCAATCTAAGTGGGAGGTTCGGATATAAAAATCTCATATTTTGTGGGACTATCAACCTTCTCATATCATCGCTAAGTTTGTACCAAATCATCTTAAATTTCTTTCAAATATTACTAAGAAAGTTCAATTTGCAGTTTTTTGTGTTGGCGATTCATTTTTGATGCTTCTGATAGCTCGTGCTGTTGAAGGCATTGGATCAGCTTGTATCAATGTTTGTGGAATGAGTTTGATTGCGCAAGTAAATTAAATTAAACTGATAAAATTTGTATAACGACAAAATAAAGGAAAATATTTTTCTAGCTTTATCCTGAAGACCATCATCGCTCAAAAGTAATGGGAATTGTTCTTGGCTCAATAGCTTTAGGAGTTCTCTTTGGATATCCTTTAGGGGGCATTTTATATGATTTTGTGAGTGAATCAGCTCCATTCATCATTATTGCATTTTTCCTGTTCACTGATCTCGCATTTCAAATCACATTTTTCGATTTTTCCAAGTCTGAGGTAAGTTGATAATCATATCATGAATGAACGATTGTAAATATTGTTGAAAATCGATAATAAACTCTTCTCTCTCACTCTGACTTTAGTATGAAGTCAATGATATGGAAAATCGTCGGAAAAATGGATCACCACAATGGATTCAATTGCTTTCGAACAAGCTGGTGTTTACGATAACAGGAGCTATTTGGTTGTCAACATCCGCCATGGCAATATTAGAACCACTGCTTCCAATATGGTTAATTGCACATCTTCACCCTAAAAAGTGGCAACTTGGAACAGTTTTTATTCCTGACTCTGCTGGTTACTTCATTGGAACAAATTTCTTTGGCACCGTTGCATTTAAAATTGGACAAATTAAGATGTCGGTGATAGCAATTATGGTTGTGGGCGTATCTTGTGCAATAATTCCCGAAGCAAAGACGGTTACAAGTTTGATCATCCCTCACTTTTGTCTTGGACTTGGCATTGGCATTCTTGACACTTCTTTAGTTCCTTATCTTGCAAGAATTGCTGATTCAGTCATTACAAGCGCTGATGATTGTTCAGAAGTTTCAGACGTGTCTGCTTCGAATTATGGAAATGTTTATGCAATTCAACAATCAGCTGTTAGTTTAGCATACTCCATAGGTAAATATGAAATATATAAATTGTTGCAGAAATTTTCGTTAAATGATTATTTCAGTTCCATTCCTGGGTGGCGAACTTGCTGAATCAATGGGATTTCGAACAATTATGCGTATTTTGGGGATAACAAATTTTATTTATGGTCCAATTTTACTTTACATTACAATGAAGCATAATCTGAATGTAAGTTCCACAACTTTTGTTCCTAATCATGATTCACATTATTTCATTGGTTTTCTTCCAGAGTTTGACAACCAAAGAACCAGACTTATTACTCAAAGAAACAAATCCTTCTAACTATCGTAGATTCTACGATTCGATTGATTGAATGATGAGAAATATTTTATAATTATAAAAAATTTGAAATATTTAATAAAAGCTTCATATCTCGAACGTAATTTCATTTTAGATATTTATTTGCAGAGTATTCAAATAGCTTTCTTGACAACTCCAAAGATTAGTTCTTCATTTCGTTGAAATGTGTTCTTTCATTTCTTCCTTAAATTCATCGACGTTACTTTTGTTCACTTGATCGTGCTTCGTTTCCATCTTTTTTTGACAATTTGTGCTTACAAAAGAAATCAATTCCTCTTTTTCGTTTTCATCAAATTTAAACCAGAGAGGCCTAACGATCGTTTGGTCAATGCAAGGATTTGAAGATAAATCCACTGTTCGAAGTTCTGGCCAAAGTACGTTGATATTTTGTAATATTCTCTCATCAATAAAATTAATTGAGTTATTTGCTTTGAAAAAGAATGCAGCCACTATAACTTATAACCCTACACAATTAGATAATCAATATTTACCCAAAAGGAGATATTTCAGTGATGGCAGAGACTCAATCATAGGAAAAG